TGCCGTGTGGTTTTGGCGTGTTCCGGCGTGATGGTTTTGCTTCGGTGCTGTCGTAATGCAGGCGGGGAGGAAAGGGCCTCGAGGGAACGGCTGAGCAGAACGGGGTCGCAAGCGCAGCGCAGCGCAGCTTGTATGTGTCGCTGTGGCATGGGTCTAAGCCGTACTGTGTCTAGCGATCAGTGGGAGGCCGTCTGTGCCATCTGCCATTCATTATCAACCCATGGCTTGGGCGGCTTGGGCGGCGGCTCGTCACCGCCTGAGACCTGCAAAGGAAACCCAAGGGCCGATGGGGGGGGGTTGGTTTCATGGAGGTTTGCAGCATTCCGAGACAAAGAGCGACGGGGTCGACCACTCGAGGGCAGGACCAAGCGTAGGTCGCGCAGGTCGTGGGGAAGCCAAGGATGAAGCTGGATACCGTCCAGCCGCGTATGCAAAGAAGAAGAAAGTTGCCGATCCGGACGAGCACGGCGGCAGCAAGGATGCCGTGGTGAGGCTGTTTGGGGGTCTTGGGCGAGCAGTCGAAGCAGACAGTGGGTGCATGTACGGATACGGATTTTCAACGGACGCAACGTGCGGGAGTACTCCGTACAGCTTTTTGTCCGAGTGCTAAGACGGAGTGGTTCATTTCGCAGAGACGACGATGGCGGTGACGTGACGGGCCCAAGCACATTATACCGGATGGCCACGCCCGGGGAGAGAAAGAGCTAGAAGAAGCCAACATGAAAAAGTACGGAGTACGGAACGGCCAAGGACGGGAGCCGAACGATGTCATTCTCAAGATACAATCTGGGAAGATTGAAATTGCGTGTGCTTGATAAGAATGAGAGAAGAAGAAAGGACAAGAGGTTGGTTGTTCTCTGGGTAGGTGCGAGCTGTAGCCGTTCCCGTTCGTATCGTCCCATCTTATGATTGACTCGCCCAATAGCGGGACCGAAGCGTGCTGTGTGGAACGGAGATGCGGGCAGAACAACGCAGAGAAAGAGCTTTGACAAGGCAGGCAGCCTATTGCACTTTCTTCAGTGGGCCGCAGCTGGTTTGCGGCAAGCGCACGACGGCGACTGCGGCGACGACGACGACGACGACGACGACGACGACAACGTCGAAGGCGACGGAGGACATGGACTTCGAACCTTGTGGCCCATCAACGAACGCATCCGCCTGCCGAAAATTACGATGGACTCTGAGTACCCCTTAGGCAGGGTTACCCTTCATCGCCAATACACTACTCCGGAGCCGCTTGGCTTTCGTTTTCCGAATGGGGTTGAGCGAGCGAGCGAGCATCCATCCGTCTCCCTCTCCGCCCGGATCCAAGACGACGTCAAGCCCGTGGGTTCGCATTGCAATAGTGCGCCAAGGGAGTAGTGCCGAAGAATGAGGCAGCAGTTGATGGTGTCGTCCACAATCCCGATCTTTTGGGTTCTCGGTGGGCGCTTTTCTTCCCTGGGTGTACGGTAGGTACCTGCCTGAGGGTATTCTTCCGCCTTCCAAAAAAGGTCACGACCGGGTCAGGATCAGTGATGCCGTCGCAGAGAGCACAGGACCATGTAGGCTTGGTGTCAAGAGGCGTTGTGCCGTGCCGGAGCACAAGCCGGTACTGTCCGCAGCATTGTCCTGGCACCGGCGAGTCCGTGCAAGACAGACAGGCACTGTCCAAGACGTGGTCCGTGTGGCTGTGGATGGCATGGCAAGCCGCTCATTGCACACTGTCTAGTGTGTCCTTACCTATCTACTACTATGTATGTACCTAGCCCGCCGGTGGGGGCCTAGAGACAAGCAAGGAAAGTGAGAGAGGGAGAAAGAGCGCGAGGGCGAGGTACGAGCGCAGTGAAGACCCTCGTCTGCCCGCCTTGGGAGTCCACGGCGTGGGTTCAAGGTTGGGTAGGAAGCTGGGAGCTCACACTGCCAGTGGAGCGTCTCCCCCACATGACCTTCCTGACATTGAATTAGTGTACGATTATGTACCCTGTACATAGTACTTACCCGTGTGCTTGCTGCATACCCACTCAAGGGATGTCGCCTCCAGGTACAGACAGGTACTTTTCCAATCGCCTTCTCATCCCGACCAACACGTGTACCTACACAGGAGTAAGGAAGGAGGAGCAGAACCACTACCACCTTGGCTTTCTCTCGGTGCCTGAGGTATGTACATGTCAGTCATCCCAGGACGGATGGGCCTTTGCCGTCTTATCGTATCTGCCTACCTCACCTCATTGCTTCCATCTCGACCTGCCGACATTCACGATGCTGAGCGCCTTGCCCCCCCCCCGACTGCTGCGGTGGGGTGAGGGGGAGGAGAACTCGCCCGAGAGTGAGTCGGGGCGAGGAGACTTTGCTCCCACGTCCTGGGGCCTCGCGCCAATTCTCATCTTATAGAGTTGTCTAGTGAGCGCTAAACAAGAGCCGGCCTTGTCAATTCGCCCCGGCAGCTAGCCAAGCCGTCCGGCGTCCGTCCCTTTTACTTGACATTAGCTCTTCAAACATTGTAAATGTAACCCTCTCGGCGGCCTGCCCACCGTCGTTTGCCGCTGATGTTTCCGCAGACTAAACAAACCTCTGTTCGGCCGCCTCGAGGCTGTGGTCACTAACGTCTGTCTGTCTGTCTGTCTGTCGTCGTCGTCGTCTGCCTCCGCAAGTGCTACGCGGCAAATTTACACGCCATCCCGGCATATCCCACGGGCTCCTCGTGTGCATCAAAGCGAACCACCCTTATCCGATCTTTTCTTTTCTGCAGCCGCCTCTGGTCCGATCCCGTCGTATTCCCTCGCCCGTCACAACCAACGCCCTCGTACTGTGTGCTGTGCTGTGCTGTGCTGCACCGCGCACACACCAAAGCAACACAGACTTTTCAGCTGGTCTTCACCTCCCCGGTTCAATCGCTGCCGTCGTCGGGATTGTCGTCACTCTTCGGTTTGACCTGCCTGCCCAGCCCTGTCTGGCCCCGTTCTGTTCTGTCTTGCCCTCCGCCATCCGAACCTCGACTGCGTTTCCTCGTTGCCCCTCCGAGTTGACTCGACTCAAGCCGAGTTGCGTCAAGTCGACTCGCGCCCTGTTCCCCTTCGTCGGCCATGCTCGCTGACTGCCTTCCTTGCCTCATTTCAAGGGTCGACGAGGCGTCGGCCGACCATGGTGCATTTCCTTCGCCCTGCCCAACCGCTCATCTGTTTGCTCACTGTCCTGCTCATCTCATCTCCTTTTCCCCAATGGTCTGTTCTACTGCCCTTTGGTTTGGCAGACGGCGCATTGACTTGTCATTCTGCAATGTCTCGCTCTCGTCCCTTTGACTGTTCGTCACCGCCCTGTCATTGTGTCTGTCAGTTGATCTGCCACGGACGGTACTTTGCCTTGCTTGCCCCTGGGGTTCTCCCGTCACACATCACCGCGAGGCCTCGTCCATCCACCGTGACGCTTGCCGGCCTATCTTCAGCCCAGGGCAGGGGCCATTGGGCCCAAAGTTTTTAGTGTGGCACCAGCCGACATGGGGGCGCCGTCGTCCAAACCCAGGGACGCAAAGACGCTCGCTCCATGGACCAGGGGTCGGGACGGACGCCGGGGGCCGGGGCCAGGATTGAGAATTAGGGGGGTGTGGGATAGGATGGGATGGGTTGCGCATGGGACGAGTGGATGCCGTGTGGATGCAAAGGGTTCACTTTCAATTCAGGTTCGCTCAGGTGGGTGCAACCATCCTCCCACCTCACTCCTCCTCCTGCCTCCTCTCCTTCCTTGCCTTCGCTGCCTCGCGCCCATCGACAAAGTTGGAGTCGGACCAGTCCAGCACCTTCATTGCACAAATCGCCCAAGGCTCTTTCTCGACATCTCTGCTGTTGTTTCCCCTCCCCATCTGCTGACATGGGGCTTTCTCACCCTCGCTCTCGCAGCCTGCTTTGGCCCCGTCCGCCGTAGGTCGCCTTTCCCGCGCACTCCATCCTAATCTTCCGGGTCTGCCTGCATGGATAGATGGCTCTGCACAGTTCAGTCTGCACAGTCTGCGTCTTCTGCGCAGCTCTCCGCTACCCAGGCCCTGTCATGCCCTGCCATGCCTCTCCACTGCTTTGCTTTGCTTACCTTACCTTACCTTAGCTTTGCTGGCTTGCCCTGTCTGTCCTGCCCCCGGTCCTCAGAGACCTTCTGCTGGGGCTTCCCCTTTCTCTTCCCTCTCAGGGCCCCAGAATCAAGAGAGGTGACCCCCTTGCTCCCTTGGTGTCCCGATACCTCCACCCATATATGATCTCCTCGCTGCTAGGGGGTACCCGGTGGACAACGAGAGAGAGAGGTGCCCCCCTTCTTGCTCGCCCAGGCCCTGCCGCCACCCCAGCGCCTACCTACCGCGCGACTTACACCCACGTCGGCCTGCACACACACACACACACACACACACACACACACACACACGCGCGCTCAGTGCTCTGTGATGATGGGTCGACAAGACAAATGAATACATCTTCCGCCTCTCACCCCCCTCCCCCTCCCGTCACTACTTCTTCTCACTCCTCTTGTCATTGTTTTTTTGTGTCCTTTCCCTCTCGTCAAGCCTCGTCTGTGCTCCTCCAGGCCCTTGCCTAGACAGATCGAATATCTCGCCCTCAAACCTTTGGGAGGACTTTGGCAGACCTTGCTGTCTCACCTCGTCGCGGCCCTGCCTCACCCTTCCTCATCCCGCTTCTCGTACCCCGTTTGATCTTAAAGCGGACAAGCTCCCCTCGATCTGCTACTCCAAATCCCGCGCCTCTCACACCCACGTTCTCTCTTCGCACCTCTCTCAATATCAGGCCTCCAGCCTCCTAACCTCAGTCGCTCTTTCACCTCACGCTCCTGTCCATGACTTGACTCTTGCGTCCATCGTTGTTGCCACTGGAGAGATTATACGCATGCCTACGCTCGCCGCAACGCTGCTCACACACGCGCTCTGCTTACATTCGTTCACGTCGCCATCCGGCAGCCACACATCGAGCCCCCGTTGATCGGTTAATAAACGAAGCTCAAGCAGCTTTGCCACATCAACCATGGCGTACTACCAAGACTACCAGACGACATACGATTATGCTGCCTTTAGCACCCCGTTCCCCACAACCTTGTACCAGAATGAGTACAGCCTGGACTTTTACCGGCAGCAAGCCGCTATGATGAACCGAGGCATGTTCCCAGGTGTTGGCGGAAAGGCTACCGAATCAAAGCCGAGGCTCGCCAAGGACGAAGTCGACAAGCTCGAGAGGGAATTCCAGAGGAACAACAAGCCCAACAGCAGCCTGAAGAAGCAGCTTGCCGAGGAAATGCGAGTCGACATTGCAAGAATCAACGTACTTATCCCCCTGTACCCGTTTCGCGACATACACTGACTGGCTTTAGAACTGGTTCCAAAACCGGCGAGCAAAGGCGAAGCAGGAGAAGAGGGCACAGGAGAATGAGGCTCGCCGCAAGTCGGAGCAGGCTGCCGATGAACCTAGCAACGCCGAGATCATCAAGGAGTCTTTCCAAGACCACGACGACGACCTTCGCCCATCCACGGCCCCCTTCCCGCCCGTCAAGACACAGCCTGATGCGGCTTCTACCCGCGAAAGCTCGCCGTCAGAAGTGACCGAAACCCTGGAGTCATCGGTAGAGCCACCACACCGGGCCGTTGCGGACGAGACGGAGTCGGAATACGCCTCGCCCGAATCATCCAACTCCTTCCCGCACCAAGAACTCAACATCAGCTACACCTTGGCCTCCGATCCATTCTTCTCGGACCAGTCGTCGTGCGACTTCACCTCTTCGATGCCTTTGGAGGCTACCAACCAGGCCCCTGGCCACCTGACTCTTTCGATTCCCAGTCAGTATATGGCGCACCTTCCCGAGTCAGCGAGCGCTTCGTCCTTCTCTCCATACCATCACCTGTCCAGCGCAAGTGATTTCGGAGATTCACTCGCCCCTATGCCGCATGGTCTTTCTAGCAACTTGACTGAACCGATCCCCATCAACGTCAAGCAGGAGCAAATGCATGGCGAAGCCCTCGACAAGTTTGATCAATTCTCCCCTGCGTCTATGTCTCATTCGCCACCAGAAATCTCCACTCCAGACTTTCGTTTCAAGTCACCATCGACTATCGACATCGCTAGCAGGAGAAACTCTAAACGACCCGCACAGCTTGTCAGCTGCATGAGAAGCCAGTCATACAACTACTCCGGCCCAAAGACCGGGGTTGAGCTGCCTAGGAGGATGGAGGCACCGAGCCCGATGCGCCGCGTTGCATCGGCGACGGGCAACTTTCCCAGAGGAATTCAAAAGATGGCCAGCTCGGGCCCAAGATCGCCGCTGTACTTTGACCGCAACCAGGAGAACCTTCTTCTCCAGATGGCTTCAAGGTCCCCGGCATCACGAAGCCCGGCAGCGCCACCCACCCCCAGCACGCCGATTGTCCCCAGCCAACAGACTCTGCGTGAGACGACAGTCTCGTCCATGTCCTCTGCCGAGGACGAAAAGAGCTACGGGCTCCAGAACAGTCTGACTGTACCCCAGTATAGCATGGACCCGACTATGAGGACGCCGCCGGATACCCCTGGCATGCTGACGATCATGCCGAACTCCATGTTCCCTACTTTTGACTTCAATGTGCCCGATGACCCTCTCCCTACGCCCAGCTTCGGCGGCTTTGAGCAGGATTTCCCTACCATGTCAACCAACATCCCGAGCTATGTCGCACACGGTTGCGCAAGCCAGCCGGTGACACCCTCGTACCCTCCTGGTAATATGGGCCCGGCGTTCTACTCATCCTACAGCGGTGGTAACCCCGAGTACAACTGGTCGGATTCTTCTGCCGTCTCAGCCAAGGCCTCGCCCGATCAGTCACGTTCAAGACAGTTTCAGTTCACCAACATGACTGCGCAAGACTTCCACGGGGAATGATACGTCGCTCATCTCTGTGGCTCTTGTAAACCTAAACTCTGCATCGGCGTGGATGAGAGTACCTAAAGGGCACGAGTCCTGAGGAGGCAGCCATGCTCCGGGGCTTTTGTCTACCACGCTATTGCCCAACGGGCGCTGTATAACAACAAACATGGGAAGGTTTCTGGCGCGCATTTTACTTTGTACACACAGCGACTGCGAAAATTATTGGCGATTGGCGCGTAACCGGGCTTTTCGGAACCTTTTTCTTTCATTGCTCTCTTCGGCAACGATTTCCTTTTTTTTCTTTTTCTTCCCCATGATACCTACTGCATACACATCAAAGAAGACATTCTCTTAACCTAATGTAATGATATACACACGGCTTATGTTCTGCTGGCGGCGGCGCTGTTTGTGGCTGGAGAAGAAAGCAAGAGGGGGCGGGGGGCGCAAGGACCTGGATACCCTTCGGAAGAAACAGGACAGTCAAGAGGGGGATTCACAGGTTTCAACCAGGGCTGGTCGTCGGGTCATCGGCGGTAAGGGGATGGGGGATTGCGAATACAGGTTGACACACATGGATGTCACGGATCCCCGAGATGCGGGATGGTTGGGATGGCGTTAATCTTCCAGCGATTTTGGGGTACGCCAAGATAGGAGGTCAAAAATAAAAAGAGAGAGTTACCCATGACTACGTCTTCCGCCCCTCGAACCTTGAACGGCGACACGAGACGGGACGGATTCGCAATTCCTTTGTGTGGCCCGCCGCTCCCCGAAAAACTTCACTGGCGTTTGTTTACCTAGCTAAAAGGTACCGTCCGGTCCGACGTAACGGAAGATGGCGGAAGACTTGCCAGCCCTTGAGCATGTGCTGACCGGACAAAAGCCGTTGTGTTCCGCGGCAGTCGAGTTCTGGTCTGTTTCTCTTGCTTCTTCTGGAATGTCTAGTATTCTACGCGTAATGAAGTCTAAGCCCAATCGCCATGGCGTCAATCGTCTTTGACGTCGTCGGCATGCTTATTTCCGAGACGTTGTTTCGTCCGGGTACGATCAGAGCAACCATTTTCCGCAAGCCCTGGTCCGCTGCCTCGTGCCAAATGTGTGCGTCGCCGCAGCCGTGGGGAGAGAGACGAGAAGAGGTGCGCGGTAGTGGAGGAAGGTGTGACGTTGCAGCAGAGTTGGGACTGAGGAATGCCAGCTCCACACCCGCTGGGGTTTGATTCGTCCGATGCCGCTGTCGGATTGTGGTTGCGAGGACCTCGGGGGCTTTTTTGGAATGGTTCGTGTGGGGAAAAGAGAGTGGCCAGCAGCACGTACATACATGCGCACCAGGCAATTGGGTCGGCTCTTTGTTTTCTGTACCGCCCTGCCAGATTTCTGCAACGACATTCCTTGAGCGAGACACGGCATTTCGTTTCCATTCCACAAACCGGCACCCCCTCCCGTTGTCAATCCTACCGACCGCATGGCAGAGGAATGCGGACGGGACCTTACTGGCTTTTTGTTTTGTTTTGTTTGACCTCGGCAGGCCGTTGCGGTCTTTGTCCGGCACGCGCTGGCACGGAATCCCCCGCCTCTTCGATAACCACGTTTGTCGAGGCCCTTGCCTTACCCGCCCCGAGTACCACACTGCCAAAGAGCCACGAGACTTCAGCAAAATTACCCGGCTGGCACGTTATCATCTGGAACGCTCGAAACGGTCTTTTCTCCTGGCCCTGGCCCTATTCCGCATTCGGACTGAACCGTCTGCTCCCCTCCTTCTCCGTCCTTCAGGACCTGTTCGGCACCTGGTTTCCGGACAGAACAAAGAAGCCGACTGCTGTTGTTTAAGGTAAATCCAATGCGGAGAAAGGGCGCGCGTCTTCTTTTCCAAGTCGCCCAATTGCCCAATCCTCGCTCTCTGTCCCTCCCTCCCCAGCCGTTTTGCCAGGTTTCCCCGCTCCCCGCAGCAACCTCCACTCCATCATTGCCTTTACCGTGGATGAAAGCCGGCATCCACTGCTACCCATGCGGTGCTATTATGGCCCCCTCCGAAAGGAGTCGTCATAGCCACTGGACGGGATCATACTAGGCCGATTCTAGTACGATTGACACCTCCCATCTCTCTCCTGCCCAGTCCTTCTCCCGGAGTTATCCCGTCTTTACACCAAGTGGCCGGTCGTCGATCCACGTACACAGCGCGGGGAGACAAGCATAACCTACGACGACCGGGGCGACTTACTCGGGGTACATCGTAGACGCGGAGAGCGAGCAGCTTTTTCATCGTCCTCATTCGACATCTCGCAAGTCGTACCCCTCGTGACGTAGAAAGAAGCCCCCTTCGACCAGACGTCGGCCCGATACATCCTGGTTGCTATAATGTCCTCGCCCTAGCTGGGCGTCTTGGCGGCCTTTTTGCTAACCGAGTTGTAAAGGCGTCCCTGAAGCGGTTTTGCCTGCTCGTCATGAAGAGGTCGCGGTATAAGAAGGGCGACGGTGGCCGTGATGGCAAGTCCCAACATGTGCCTGCCGCCCCACACCAGCCAAAACCCGATCGATACGTGCGTCTCAAACAGTATCTCTCTGCGGTTCTGACCATGGTTTTCATTGCTTACGCGTTGGCGACATGCCTCTACCTCTCCGTCCCGGCGTGGTCTGCGGCGCTACGCGGTCGGACCACCGGTCCCGTCGTGGACGTTAAGAACGGCTCCTACGCCGGTATCCACAACGCAAACTATAACCAAGATTTCTTCCTCGGGATGCCGTACGCCAAGGTGCGCAAACTCTAACCGCCATAAAGTTTGAGCCACCGACCACATGCTAACCATGTAAGACTCCTGAGCGCTTCCACGTCCCTGAGAGCCTGAACACGGCATGGAACGACACCCGCCCTGCCACGCAATACCCCAAGCACTGTATCGGCTATGGCGGGGACATGGTCGGCTATGAGTCCTCGGAGGACTGCCTGTACCTTAACGTCGTCCGCCCGGCTGGCGTGAGCCCGGACGCAAAGCTGCCCGTGGCCGTCTGGATCCACGGAGGCGGTCTGGTACGTCATCTGCCTTTCATCCCCTTTCGATATGTCAACTAACATGCTCAAAGTACATGGGAGGTTCGGCCGACAGGCGGTATAACCTTTCCTTCATCGTCGACAACAGCGTCAAGCAGGGTACCCCGGTCATCGGGGTCAGCCTCAACTACCGCCTCTCCGTCTTTGGGTTCCCCGGCGGCAAGCAGGCCCTCGATGCCGGCGTCACGAACCTCGGCTTCAGGGACCAGCGCCTGGCGCTGCACTGGGTCAACGAGAACATTGCGAGATTCGGCGGCGCGCCAGACAAGGTCACCATCTTTGGTGAAAGCTCCGGCGCCGAGAGCGTTTCTGCGCATGTGCTGGCGTACAACGGTGGGTTACGGATCGTCCGCGTGGGAAGCTCCTTGACTAACACCTTCGAGGGCGCAATGACGGCCTCTTCCGAGCGGCAGCCGCTCAGTCCGGATTCGGAGGTGTCATCCCCCGCGGGACCGGCGGCTTCAACTCCACCTCGTACCAGACGAACTACGACCAGTTGGTCGGCAACATCACCGCGTGCGCTTCCACCGTCGGCACCCCAGAGTCTATCGAGTGCCTGCGCACCGCACCCCTAGAGGAGTTCAACGCGGTGCTCAACGTGACGAGCCCGCCCTTCACCTTCATCCCCATCAAGGATGGCGACTTCTTCGTGGACTTTGCCACCAACCAGCTCGCCCGTGGGGACTTTGTCAAGGTTCCCGTCCTCATCGGGTCTAACACGGATGAGGGAACCGCCTTTGGGCAGGGCAGAGGACCCAACGGCGGGCCGGTCAACGCGGACGAGGACATGGCATACGCCGTGGGCAGCGTCATCCCGCCGCACGCCGAGGAGAGGACGGGGCAGACCAACGAGGAGCTTGTGGATGAGGCGCTGGCGTTGTACCCTGATGACCAGGCCGTCGGCATCCCGAGCCTCGAGACGTGGCCGCACGTCATCCAGCCCGGCGAGCCCATTGCCGTGGCGCGGGGTCTGCAGCAGCGCCGCAGCGGGGCCTTCTTTGGAGACATGTATGTCCAGGCCTCTTGTCCCCTCTGTTGTGAGTTGAGTTTTGACTGACTTTTTTTGGCAGGTTTTTCGGGTTCGTGCGACGGAGAGCCAACACCGTCTGGTCAGAGAATGGCGTGCCCTCCTTTGCCTACCGCTTCGACGTCACGCCGAACGGCTCCCCGGAGTACATCGGCTCAACCCACTTTTCAGATGTAAGCCTTCCTTCCCCCTCGTATCGTCGCGTCCTTCCAAACGAGACTCCTCCCAGGACTGACACGCACACCACCCCGTCTAGGTTGCCTTCGTCTTTGACAACGTCGACGGCCTGGGCTACGCCACGAACCCCTTTGGCGGCAACGACACGGCGTACACGGCCAAGGCCGTCGCGCTCGCAAAGACCATGTCGACCGCGTGGGTCAACTTCTTCGTGGGCCTCGACCCCAACGGCGCGCCGGGCCTGGGCGCGTGGCCCGTTTACGACACCGCCAGCGAGGCCGGGGTGGGCAGCGACATCGTCTTTGGCATCGACGGCACCGCCGTGGAGAGGGATGACTGGCGCAAGGAAGGCATGGACTGGATGATTGAGCACGCGCTGGACATCTTTGGAAACTAAGACGTTGGTGCGCGCGGTAGCGATGGCAATGGCGATGGCGTCGCTGACGATGTTTGTTGTTTGTGGTATATAATCAAGTCTCATGGCTGAAATCAGCACATACGACCATACCCACTGGAAAACTCGGGATCCCGTCCGCTCTCCCATAGATAAGCCAGTGAGGGCCGGATTAGTAGTTGGGTCGGTGACGACCAGCGAATACCTGGTGTTGTATGTTTTTTTTGATGGTGTTGCGATGTCCTTTTGCTGTGGTGGGTCCACTACAGCGGAAATCTCACGATATTGTCCCCACTCCGTCGACGTTTAGTCCCGCCATCCTTGCTAATCAGTTCAGATTCAGAACAAGCTCGGTGTTGTCGCTGAAGCACTGGCTGAACCAACTGGTAGTAGCCTCTCGGCACGAATGGACCGTGTGCTTTACATGAGATTAAACATCAGCCGGGCTTGCGTGATCAGACCCGCCGCCGTTGAATCCAAGGGCCCGGGACTCTGACCAACCCTGTTCCGGTATAGCGCCGGATGGAGTAAGTCGCGTTTACCTCCAATCCCCTCCGGATGTCCAGGAAAAGAAGACGAATCATGAACACATTGGAGGTATGCCGCATGGAGACGACGGGGCTAACTGTGTACGGAGGCTCGGGACATGATGGAGGAAACACCAGTGTCCGAGTATTACACTAGCATCATGCCCCTTCTAACGTTTTGCTCGCATGTTCACCGGTCCATCTTTGATCGGTTCAGACCTCAGAGACTCGGCTAGTTATTCGTCTTCAAGCGATCCGAAACAAGATGACGAAAGACAAGGCTTTACTCCCTTGCCTCGTTTGGGTCTTTATCTTGTGTCTAGCCGGCCTCACCCAGGCTCAGGATACTCCGCAATGCAGCGCGTCGGTACCATGCGAAGTTGGATGCTGCAGCAAGTCTGGCTTCTGCGGCCTCGGTCCTGATTGTAACGACGAACCCCCTCCCCCAAGCTGACGGGTGGAACCCCTTTCTTCTCCCAGAACCAAAGCTTACCAGTGTAACAGATTGTAGCAAGTCAGCTTGCGTCAACAACTGTGACCGTAAGGCCGACTGCGATCCGGGCGGCTACGGCGAAGACTATGTGGTGCAAACCACATGCCCCCTTAATGTCACTGGGCCCCTTTTCCTGTGCGAGTGTTCTCTCCCCCTCGCTGACAGCTACGTAGGTCTGCTGCTCCAAATATGGCTTTTGCGGGACAACAGAAAAGTTCTGCGGCACCAAGGATGTCAACCGACCGAGCTGCACCGTCGGAGAGAGCACCCGTTTCAAGCGTGTCGTTGGCTATTACGAAACCTGGGCGACGGGGCGAGCATGCAACCGGTTCTCCCCGGAACAGATCCCCGCCGGCGTCTACTCGCACATCAACCTCGCCTTTGCCAGCATCAACCCGTCAACCTTTGAGCTGGTGCCAGCCGCCAAGGCTGACACGGATTTGTACAAGCGCGTGGCGAACCTCAAGGCCGAGGACCCCCGTCTCAAAGTCCTCGTCGCCGTGGGGGGCTCGGACTTCAACGACACGGGGCCGACGGCGTCTACGTTTTCCGACATTGCGAGAAGCGAAGCGGCACAGGACAAGTTCGTCGACTCGGTTCTCAAGTTCATGTCTACCTACGACCTGGACGGGATCGACCTGGACTGGGAGTACCCTGCGGCCAAGGACCGCGGTGGACGGGACGATGATTTCGCCAATTTCCCCAAGTTGATGAAGACGCTGAAGCAAGCACTCAAGGAGTACGAGGTTAGCATCACGCTCCCGGCCATCTACCGTAAGTCCCTGGTCGCCCCTGATGCCAAGGAGCTTTCCTAGTTCTCGTTGCGTCTGCGAGCATGTGTATGTGTTCTGATACCTTTTTTTTTGTACACCCCAGGAAATCTTCAGCACTTTGATCTCAAGAGCATTGCGCCGCACGTGGACTTTTTCAACGTCATGACATACGACTTGCATGGCGCCTGGGAAACGCCTACCGAGTCGGGCGGGCCGTACCTTGACTCGCACACGAACCTCACGGAAATCAAAAGCGGACTGGACCTTCTCTGGCGCAACGGCGTCGATCCCGACAAGGTGGTGCTGGGCCTTGCGTTCTATGGCCGCGGCTTTGTGGCCTCCAGCTCCTCCTGTCTCGGCCCGGGATGCACGTTTGAGTCCGGCACCGATGCCCTGGTGTGCAGTGCCGAGGTCGGCTCTGCTCTCAACTCGGAGATTGACGACCTCGTCGCCGAGCAGGGCGTGCGGCCCACGCTCGACAAAGACGCCGCAGTTCAGATCCTGACGTGGGGGACAAGAACTGGCTCACCTACGACGACGAGGAGACGCTCCAGCTGAAGGCGGATTTCGCGCGCAGCCAGTGCCTCGGTGGCGTCATGGTGTGGGCCATCTCGCACGACACCGAGGACGCAAAGTACTCCACGGCTCTCTCGCGCGTCGCCCCAAGGCTTTCCAGCTCGTAGCCGGTTACTTCCAGCAAGGGTGGGTATATACAAAGGACGACACGGGCCATTTGCAGTGCAGGTAGATAAACTGTAGCAAGAACTGTACATTGGACTAGATATGTAGAATTACAATACTACCCGTCGTAACAGACTTAACCGGGCATATATCCGCTTTTGGACCCGGTGGCCGGGCTGCAACTCCGGTGGCCACATGCCCGCCAGCCACCGTTTGCCTTTGTCGTCTACGAAACCACCCCGGAGGCCCTCCGCCCCAGCCGCGCCGCCGCCCTGGCGCGTGCCATCTTTGAGCGCACGTACGAGGAGTGCGGCCTCTACGGCAGGGCGCCGAGCTGCGGAGCCGCCTTGCCATTGAGTACAGGACGGTGGCCAAATCATGGTACCTACCTGAAAGGATCATTGACGAGTGGTGCACGCGCAGGGTTTACGTGGTTAACCAGCTAGAGGATGTGGACGACGGCGCGGAGCTGGAGTGACGCGTTTGGCTGGACCACGAGGGTCCCGTGGGAAAACTGGTCCCTCATGACGGAGGAGGAGCGAACTGATCGCAGCGTCTACGGCAGCCTGTTGCAGGTGCTCTTCCACCCGCGCGAGGACAGGTCGGACGCCATACTAGACGAACCTCCCGTTGAGTGAGGAGCCATGGCGTCAGGTCGTCTGGAGGAAAACGGCACTTGAGTTGATTGGGCAGTTGCTGCAAACCTATGCGCAGGGGGTCGAGTAGTTCTATGAGCATTCCGTTGCCGATGGCGTGTTGGATCTGGAGATGGACAAGGCCCAAACCGAAGCAAAGGGTGTAGGGGCGACCGGATTTTGAAATATCTTCTCGCTGAGTACTTAGGTATGGTACTCTATGGTTTTTTTCTTCTTTTTGCCAGCCCGCCTTAACCAGTTACCTTCAAGCCTCCCTCCGCCCTAGAAGCTTTCCACCAGTAATACCGTCCATCATACTTCGTTGTGCTTTTCTTAAGCTCGATGGTGTAATGTACTTCCATGTTTGAGTTGTTCAAGTCTTTTGGGTTGCCGGTCGAACAGCAGTCGAACAGGATAATGTCATCCTCATAGACCCTCCCTAAAATTTCATCCCAAAGCTGAAGGGTTTTCTCCTTGTGAGTGAGGAGGAAAGCATGGACCTGAAATACAAAGTCCCCAATTGTAGCAGGTCCACCGTCTTCCCGTTTCACTACCAGCTTGTGGTCCTCGTATTCGTCATTGTCAAGGGTATGACACTCCTTTTCCTCTTGGAAGCCGATTCTAGATAGGAGCTTGGTCAGGCCGTAATTGGAGACGGGTTCTTTTGCGAACGGATGTCCAAGAAAGGGCGTTTTGGCGAATCCTCCTCATCTTCTTCTGGATCATCAAAGACCTGGACCTCTGAGATGTCTTCGTGAACCGGCCAGTACAAGCGGTGAAGGGCATCCATCCGGAGGATAGGTGGGACTTCCTTCGGGTCATCCGAGTATGCTGCGCGCGCATCTGTTAGGGGGCCAAGCCGACACATTGTAGGATGCGGTTGATACCTAAGGTGGTTGAGGAGCACCAATCTAAACTACTGTTTTTTTAGGAAGTTTCATAGATGGAAATATACATGTTATAGTCAAATATCTAAACGGTGGTGCTTCCCACTAACAGGTACCTGAGACCGATACTCAAAAATAGGTAACTGTCTAACGTATATAGTCAAGTCCCACGACCATATCTACTACATACGACCATACCCACTGGAGAACTCGGGATCCCGTCCGCTCTCCCATAGATAAGCCAGTGAGGGCCGGATTAGTAGTTGGGTCGGTGACGACCAGCGAATACCTGGTGTTGTATGTTTTTTGTTGACGTCGTGATGTCCTTTTGCTGCGGTGGGCGACGATGCTTCTGAGGGCAGTCTTATCTATGGGAGACTGTGTCTGCTGATAAATCCTTATAGGAAATAGAACAGACCTATGATTTCTTACATAGTGCTATAGCATTAGCGTACTAAACTGATCTCTAAAAGCTCTGCATATATGCAGAAAATAAGAGACAATTCACTCGTGCAGCTTGAATTTGTGCGCCAGTATTGCGACGCTTGAAAGCCCTACACGATACTGAGCCGCTAGCTGCCTTTGTAGGTATATTAGAGCACCTTATCTGATGTGTATTAGCACTTGTGCTTTTTCCATAACGCCTGTTGTAAGAATACACCGGACGTCTCTTGAAGACTATTTGACACGCAGCGGCCCCTATGCTGCTGGATCAACGAAAGATGAAGGGACAGGTATATTCAATCGACAAGTTTGGAAAGGGGAATTAGCAGGTGTTTGTCTGAGTATTAGTTGAGTAGTGGATGAACTTTCAAACCGCTCGTCATACAAGCCCCAGATATAGTCCAGGCAAGAAACCGAATGTCCTCTCCAGCTACCCTGGTGAATGCCTCAGCCTTCCTGGTGCTTTGCACCGAGTGCAAGAGCGACTTTTCGAAATCGAGCCACAGGTTTTTAGTAGCGTGACTACATCTTCAAGATCAAAGCAGTAGCAGTCAATAACAGTGTCTGGCCGTCATTATCCGTGGTCCTGCCACTGGAAGTCGATGAGAACGCTGGCGACCACGGGGCTTGCCCACACTGATGTCTACCTACCAATGTACCCAGGTTGCCAAACTACCCAGAGTAGGCACACCACTGCCACCTGCAGGGCCTCCATCACACGATGCAGCCAGCAGCTACCTACTTATCCATTCCGCGCCGAGAGAACAGAACATGCCGCATCCACGATATTGTGCCTCCCTGCCAATAATAGCTGGCGCCATGCCATTGCCCTTTGATGCTACCCAGTGGCGGCTCATGCGCCGAGCATTAGTTGGATAGCAAAGTAAGAAGGAACCGAGTAACGGTGTTCGGAATCACCAAGCAGGTAGCAGCTAGGTATGCACCAAGGGAAAAGGTGCTAGCAGTTGTGTTGAAATTCACGGCACGAGGGAGAGGACCACCTCATCCACTAGGACACAAGTGGGTGCCTCTCGTTATATCCATTATGCGAAGGAAAACGCAAGGATCCCGAGGGAAAGATCACTCGTTAAACACTGCGAAGGAAAACGTACACAACCCTCGATGCGGTTTAAGCTAGTGTTGTCTGAAGGTCTCGAGGTCTGACGGTTGACGACTCCCTTCGACACCTAGCTAACGGCAATGACCAAGTCGAGTACGTCGACGATGAGTTCGCACTTCTACGCAGTGTCGACGATCAACTCCTTGCTTCGGCAAGGAGGCCAAGACGAACTCAACCATAGACTGGTACCAAGGCCCGATTCCTACCTGGTCCACGGCCTGGAGCAGACGCCGCCAGTCGCTCAGGGCATTCCAATCCACGAGCACACACGTCCAGTCCTTCAACCATCTCGGCCCAACCGTCACGAGCCGTCAAACATCCAGCACATATGTCAACAAGTCGAGACAACTGACAACACCTTTGCGGTTTGGCCGTCTGCCCGCCACCAATCCACCACCTATCTTCGCCATCGATTGGCAGCCAAAATCCACTTCCACCTTTAACTCAGAGTATCCATTCTTACAACCTTGAACATTCATTGCCGTCACAACCGTCATCGGTCATCAGCCGACAGCCAATTTATGTCTCATGACTTCCTTCATCGCATCAGACCTTCGCCACCCATCTCCACCATTGGCAGCCAAAGGCTTTCGAGCATCAACGCCCATCGCCATCAAGCAGAACCAGCTAACGATCATCTACCGCCATCTTCAACTCCTCTCGGAGTGCCTATTCTCCAGAATTTGAACATTCATTACTGTTGAGGTTCCCACTGGGTCACGTAACCTCTATTCACCTCCTTCAGCCCAGGCTCAGGCCAGGCCACTTTCTCCTTCTTGACGACCAGTTTCTTCGGTCGGTCAATACACGCCTCTTGACCTCATCATTTACCGTCACAACCGTCACAGTCACTTTCTCGCGACTTTCTTCGTCGCATGGGACATCGACCAATCATATCCGCTGTCAATTGGCCAAAAGCTTTCGAGGACCAACTGTCATCAAGCAGAACGTGCGACTGATCATCTACTGCCTGTAACTCCTCTTGGAGCGCCCTTTCCTCCAACCTTGAACATTCATTGCTGTCACAACCGTCATCAGTCATCAGTCGACAGCCTGCCTCTTGCGCACGACTTTCTTCATCGCAGTGGATCTTGTCCCTCAATTGCATTGGATCCCTCTTTTGCTTTTCAGCAACCAGACCTCAACCTGCCAGCCGTCCAAAATCGGGGCAAAGTTTGCAGCCGTTGCTTTTCCAGTTTGGGTCCATTTCTAACCGGAAGAAAACCTTAAGCGGTAGCTTTCTCCGAAAGTTCAGGCTTCATACTACATAGAGCCCGTCAATTTTCCCCATTCTCTCTCCACGCTGCAAACAGTTTCGATCATCCAACAGTCAAGCCAGTTACACGTCCATCCCAATCACGTCAACCAAGCGAAATCTACCACCAATCCATTCCATAGACGACCGAAAGCAATTGAACAGACTCAAGGACTACAGAGAGCTCATCAAGATGGACTCTTTCAACAAGCTACCGGCAGAGCTCCGTATAGAGATTCTTATATCGACCTGGTGCCCACGTACGATTTTACAGCTCATCCAGGCCTCACCTGTCATGCTTAGGCAATTTACTATATCAAAAGGATACATCACAAAGAAGCTACTTGCCCCCGAATTTGATAATAGCATGGTGCAAGACGCCATAGCAATTATTCTTTTCCCTTTACGGTCTACTAGCGACTTCAAAACCTTAGCCCGCCATCATTGTCACTCTTGGGCAACACAACAATTCACCAATCCGTTCTACCAACCTCTAGAAAGCCAGAACCAGAAGCAGGACTTAATCAACAAAATCAGCAAGCTCCATAAAGGACTGATGTTCTTTATTGAGGACTATCTTACTAAGGCCACTGCTGTATTCCCCCGCGGGAGTATCTATGTCTCTCATCTCAAATAGAACCCCAGTTGAGATTCAAAGGTCGGGCAGTCAGTTCTAGATTCAATGCAGCCAATCTTACAGGTCTAGAAAGAAAGCGACTATTGCGAGCCTTTCTACGGTACCAACTCAATTCTCTGATGGATGACGATATCCAACAACTTTACAAAGAGGCACTGTATCAATACAGTGGTCAAGAATTCCAACAATGGGACCTACAGGCAATTCTGTGTGTTGGCGAATATCTGGAAACTCTTTACGGGGCTATGTTTGCCCAGTGCAGCGATTCCTGGCTACCAGAAGTTATCCTAGGTTCTACTTCCTCTCACCCCCCCGGTTTGCTTTACCCAGATAGCCTTTACGTCGACCCTGACGCCTATGCCTACGATATGGGCGGCAAATATGGTCTTGCATCAGCGTTATCGGATTATGGCTTCGACCTCGTCACAATCCTTCTTCGATCCGCTAGAGCCGGACAGCCTGGTCGGGACCGCCTCAAGAAGTGGTTTAAAGGTTTTCGTCCATGGAATGACTTCAGACGGGGGGGCTCACACTATCCCAAACGAGATTATGATTCCCTTGGTGCAGTAAAAGAGGGTTCTCGAAATGGCCCAGGTATGTACCAGATGCTTCACTCCCGTATTATTCCAAACTATTACACGCTCACTACAACGTACAAACAAAGGGCATGGGTATTCTTTGATGACGCCAGATTCTACCCCTTGCCTTCACCTAATGCAAAACCACATTTTCCGACTGAGGATGAGGCTTTGGATGAGCGCTTCCAAAATACAAAAAAGGACGAGGATTGGTGGGACCATCCAGGGCAGGCCAGAGCTCGGCATCGATCACAAAAGTGGCACAACGAACAGCGCAGAATATCTCCAGAAAAGACAAAGGTCGAAGACTATCAAGACTCAGAGCTGGAAAAAGAGTGCCAAGTTTCACTGTCTGACATAATAGATGGAACGCATTTGTCTACCTTACGTCCGTTCTGGCAATGAGATAAGAATTCAGCCTAGGGACTGGTAAACATTGAGTGCGGAGGATGGTCAGCATGGGTTTGGCACCAGGCAGGACTCTCGTGGTAGGATGAATTCGGAAAGGATGTTATTACTATAGAATGACTTTAGGTGAACCGACATGGAGTTACCCTAGCTCCTATTTGCTGTTCCATATCCACGACTTCGCAACCAACAGCGATAGCGCAGAAATTTAAGCTGTTTTCCTATGTTTTTTCCTACCTAAAAGGTGACTTTGTAACTGGAGAATATAGAAACCTATTAGCCTCATTGGGTTCAAAGCAATGGAAGAGGAAGGTGTGGGGGCGAGGAAGTTAGGTTGCAAGCCACTGGAATTCCGCCCAGACACTTTTGGTTTTATAGGGGGTGTCCCGTCATAAATGGACAGCGATTGCTTGTGAGGATGGTGTTATTGTTGTACGGAGATATCTATCTAAAAGGGTCGACGGCGAGAATCCTCCGCGAACAGCGAGGATCCTTGATACACTCGAGAAGGAATCACGAGGCCTCCTCGGCCTTGTAAGAGACGAGGAGTCGGCTCTAGATCTCCTCCTTGTGGTGGCGGATGCAGGTATCTGCGCGTTGGGCATCTTAGACTCTCCCCTAATCAAAGTCTACTGAAATTAAGGGGTTACATTAGATAATCGCCTACATTCGAGACCTATTAGATATATTTGCTGCGTCCTCCGGCTTTGACTTGTGTAGGACATCAACCTCAGGACACTTCATCAAGTATACCGCAGCATCAACTGCCATGTTGTAGACTGCTAAATGCAAAGCAGTCCCCCATATTTGTTCTTTATTTTAACATAACTTGGATATCGAGGGTGTAATAACAGGATATGATTCACCATATTTGCATGACCTTAGCGTGCAGTGGTATGTAATTTTTCCAAATATCTAGCACTGCTCACCCTTTGGTAGCCTTGTTCAATGTGAACTTACTTGAAAGCTAAACGTACGACACATCCTGACTACCATGGCTATGCGGACTTCATTATATATATTTGCATCGTTGTTTCCGTCTTGTCATTGATGTCAACTAATGCTCAATGAGGTTTGAGCAAAGCTTAATGATGCAGCTGAGCTTCTCCTCGTACTTGTTCTCTCCCTCGAGAATCTGACTCGCTGGCTGGAACCTCTTCCACACCTCAATAAACTGCCCATTCTCCATTTTGCCGAGCCTGTTGAACGCCGTCTTCAGAACAGTGTGTTGAGCAATCCTGTCGACATCACCCGGGTGCACAGATGCAAGCTCCGGGCCGGCAACGTGGTCCTCGCCTTGCTGCATCCTCGCCATGACGATTCCCAACGCGCTCGCCTTGAAACAGTACGTAATCATGGCAGCCAGGCCGGCAGCGAGAGCCGTGGCGATACTGGACCCTGTCGACTCCTTGCTCGAAGATGTCTTGTCGGCAAGGTACGCCGGCAGACTGCTTCCACCACTCGTGTTCACGTTGACTCCAGGGAAGATAAAGTCGTTGTCCTTCCCGGCATGGCCATAAGCACTGCCATCGTCGTGTGCCGCGCCAATGAGGAAGAATCTTGAACGTCTGAAAGCCGAGGGATAAAGGGGACTTGCAGAGATCTGGTCTGGCGACGAGCAGAACATCAGAACGTTCTGACTGCATGCCCTCTCTAGGACTAAATCCAGAAGCCGCTTCTCTTCACTTCCCTCCGGCGGCACCGGCAGCGTCCATGACATGGAGATGATGGTGGCATTCTTTTCCAGCGCGGCTTCAATGGCCTGCTACTTGTTTAGCTCGTGCATCGTGAAGTGGTCTGGTCGGCTGCCAGTGACTTACCAGGGCTGCAGAGACGGCATCAATTGTAGACAGGCCCTTGTCTGGACTTGTGTGTGTCTTGAGTCGGATGGAGTATATGTTGGCCATCGGGCAAACTTTCAGAATCATTCTCGACATCTCAGTCCCATGGCCCTTTGCTGAGATGTAGTACTGCCCGACACTTCCGTCTTGGTAGTCGAATGTCTTGCCCTCAATGACACGACCGGTAAAGGCCGCGTCACAGCAGTCGACACCGTCATCTATGAGCGCAACAACAACATCCTTCCCCAGCTTTTGGAGGGTATCCGAGACTCTAACCTCACCTTTCGATAGGCGATTGGCGTGTTTCGAGTCGTTGCCAATCTGTTCACGGGATAGGTCAACTGTCCGCTTCCAAAACAAATCCATGCATCCGCCAAACCGCTCCGTGCAGTTGAGCCAGTCATGCTCGGTGACGGGATTAGATCTGGCTGGTTTTGGCACACCACTGGAGGACATTAGCATATCCGTGCCCTTTTTACCATCTCTGGGGAAGACGGCAATCTTGCGCCCAGCGGGTGGCTTAGTGTCAGCTGTACCGGCCATCTGCTCCGTCGAGCCCTCTAAAACCTGAGACGTGTCTGAGTCTAGTTTCTCTGAGTGGCTCTTATCATTCCGGGAGTCGTTGGCATTTTTATTCAGGCGAGTACCAAAGTCTTTAATGTTCATCTGGACCCAGTCTCTGCTGTCGTAGAGCTAAAAAAGCCCAGTCAGTATCGTCTTCAAAGGACAACACTTGAAGGAAGGTCAGAAGGTGGTAAGAAATACGGAGACTTACGTCAGACTGGGCCGGAACGTCGAGATGAACAACTTCGAGCTTTGGAAGCTTTGGTAACCCGTCAACCTCGCTCCACGATCGCAAGACTGCGTTGTTTCCACTCCATTTGAGAGTCACTTCGCGAAGGTCAACCCTGACAGTTTCGGACGTTTCATCATCGGCAGTTGTGTTCCTGACGTGACAAATGATTCGAGGATCCAGGTCTGTCTTTTGCCAGTCGAGATGTTCGACAACGATCTTCTCCAGCGAATTCTGAATCGCCTCGTCGCTGTGAGGAATCTTGCCGCTGTCGTCAACCTCGACTTTGAGGATCCGGCGCACGCCCTTGTTGTAAAGCCATTCAAAGAAGAACTCCATGTCCTGCCGCCCCAGGGCTCGCGGTTTCGGCGCCCTTCTGCCGGTGCGTTTCACGGCAACAATTGGGAACCTGACGTACATTAGTACTTCGTCGAAACGAATGCCGCTGTTTCGGTCTTTTCCAAAACGCTCCTCGAAGACGTGGTCTTGGATCTCTGACGGAAGCCCCTCGTAGTCGAAACAGATCTGGATGTCTATTGACGCTTCTTTAATCAAAGCTTTCTGAGAGTGAGAGCATGTTATTCTTACCTTCTTGAATGTTCTTTCCATACAGAAAAGAGGTAGCCATCTTGATGCTCCTGGTCCTCATGTAGTGCAGCTTTAGCATTCTGAGGATTTTTGCAGAGTTCTTCGCCAAGACTTCCGGGTTTGTCTTCTTGGATCCCTTCTTGGACGAAGCCGACGCCTTCTTCTCCTTCGCATCCGTAACGTCGAACCTCTGAGTGGCAACTCTCTTCAGCGGGGTGTTGGGCGCATGGTCTGCTCCATTCGTGCTGACGTGGATCCTGGGAAGGTCGCCAGTTGACTCATCGAGGCGTTCTTTCTGGTCCTTGGACTGTCTCGGACGATCGCCGTCTCGCTCGGAAGCTCTTTCTCGCTGCTTTCTCTCCTCTCTAGACCTCCTCTCCTGATGCTCTCGTTCTTCCTTCTCTCTGAGCTCAAGCCGTCGCCTGTCATTCTCGTCCAACTTTGATACGAGAGACGCAGAAGCCTGTTTGTGTTGTTCTCGATCCGACAAAGCTCTCCTGCCTGCACGATCACGCTCTCCGCCGGTCTGACTCTTCAAATCCTTTGGGGGACTAATCCTGGCTTCGGCGGTTCCTTGTCTCTGATGGCCAGGTTGATGCTGGCGGCTGCCTTCACATCCGTTCGGTCCTTCTCTGCATTCCGCGCTTTCGTGTATTGCTCCTCCTCTAGAGCCTTGAGGAAGGCCTTTGCTGTCCTCTCATGCTCGCCATAGACGGAGTACTCGACCTCGTCCTGTTTTCCCTCCTCCTTTCTCAGGTACTTTTTGTCCAGAAAGGTTTCAATCGGTCGAAACGTTCCAGAAGAGTTGTTATTCCTGACGATCTCGGCGTCCTTGTCAAGAAGAAGCTTGATGACTTGGACGCGCTCATCAGTGCACTGCTTATACTGAACTGCATAATGAATGGGAGTCCGGTGGGAGCCATCGGGGAGCCCCAAGACGGTCTCGCTCGCCTTCGAGACCAAGTTCCGAAGTACTCCGGCATTGAGATTCTTCTCAAATGCCAACGTCAAACATGTCCTGAGGGATTCTCCTTTTCCGCAAGTCTTGTTGAGAGCATCTTCTATGCACTTCGGGTCGTCGCAGCTGTTCAGGATGTAGTCGACCAGTTTCCAGGTGTATCTCTTTAGTTTGATGGCGCGGTAGAGGGCAGTCTGGCCTTCCTGGTCTGTGATTCTCAACAAGTAAGAATACTTCTTGACCAGTCTCTCAAACAAGGGCTTGATGGACGACGCCGTGAGCGAGTTTTCGTTGTCCTTGTCGTCCACGAGCTGGACGATCTTGTGGAAGAATGTGACTCCGTTCAAACCGACATGGTTCACTACAGCGTGATGATCGATCAAAAACTGGTCAACGATGTCTTCATTTGCTTGGCTGTTGAACTTCGTCTTCATGTCGGCAATGGCTTGTTTTGTTCTCCTGGTGATGTCGTCTTCCTCATCATCCGAATACTCCTCCTCGTCATCGGACTCTGGCCTCAGTCCTCTGGTCTCATCGTCCGACATGATGAAATCTTGAGATGAAAACTACTAATATGGATGTCGGTAAAGGGAAGCAGCACGGTGAATTGCTTCTGGACCAACATGTGTGATCCAGACGAAGGTCGTGGTACGGCGCTGGAGGGGGTTCGAACCGTGCAACGGGTTCCCGGAACAGATCGCATGAAGTCGAGAATGTCCAATGATTTGAGACTGATGGGTGACGGGAATCATTGTTTGAACATCACAGCATGTCCCCAGCCTGATTCTCTCTCCTGTCGCGGCCCCCACTCACCCCTCGCGGTGTATGTATCTTACCTGCTTTGGAAGTACATCAATGTTCCGCGGACGACCAGCCCATTGCAGCAGTAAGAGCAACAGCCCGTCTTACCTGCTTACCCAAATCCCTGCAACCCTTCAGAGCTGCAATGCAACAGCCAGGGATGCGTTCAGCGTTAAGAGACCGTGGGATCCCCGTAAGCAAGGCTGGAGCATTCATGTCCATATTCAGTCTTCAGACACGCGTCATGCACCTAAGGTGACATTGACTATGCATCAAATAGTTTCATCACGCGAGTTCAACCGAAATTGATGCATCGGTCAGCCCGCTGCACCCGATGGCTTGGCGACTCTTCACCAGGTTTGAATCACAGTAACTGGTCCGGTCTTTATTACCGTCCAGTTGAATAACTCACGCATCCCCGCGAATGCCATCACTAATTGGTGACATCCGCCCTTCAGGGAGTCCCAATTTCTACTACCAAGATGTCCACCCCTAACAACGAAAACCAACATCTCGAGGGTATTGAGCAAGAAAATGACGTCCAGGTGTTCGACGTCAGCATGTTCGAGGGGGGCAGCGAGGGGAGCGGATTTCACACCAAGAACAATCCCAAGGACCCATACCAACGTTCTGAAGTGATTCAGCGGACCGGCCGCGGTGTTGACATCAGGTGTTCACTCATCGACGCCGTACACGGGGCCATGTCTGCCAATAGCGATTTCTGGGCGACGCTGTTGGTCTTTCAGTTCCGGTTCGATCCCCAGAAGAGAGCGCGCCGAGTTTCAAGGGCCACAGTCGAGCTCCGTTTTGATGTTTCCGACGCTGGGAACGATCCGCCCGAGGTTGAAGCCATCTCCTTTGACGGGAACTACAGCTTCCTGCCAAGCAAGCAATCCGAGACAATCACCAAGGGAGGTGAAGGAAGTATCGGTGCCAGTTATGGTGCAGAACTCAGCGCCTCGGCCAAGTGGGAAAAGACCGTCGCCAGAGAGACGACGGACGCGACGACCATCAGCGGCGGCAAACTTGTCGTCAAGAATGTGCCACCAAACCGCATCGCCAAATGGACTCTACTGGAGAACAAGACGCTCGAGTCCGGGGTTCCGGCGTCTATACGGGTTGCCGTGAGGATCAAGAGGAGGGATGAGGCGGTCTTCACCTGCGTTCCGAGATTGGAGTGCAAAGCCGACAAGTGGACGTCTCTGGAAACTTTCTTTGGGGAGTTCCTGAGGACGACCCAGTCTACCTGAACCCGAGCTTGAAGTCTACGAACAAGCTAATGGCGTACGATACTGAGGAGTTAGGAAGTGTTGACATGCAAAAGCTCAGTGATGTCACTTTTACGACGATGATACTGGACGCGCAGAAGTAGAGCAGATTCGGTCTGATAGCATAATCTCACTTCTTTCGCTCCACATACGGTCTGAACAACTGTGTGCGAAAAACTGACACCGCCGTGACGTTCGGCTTGCTTTGGTTTCATGTCGACTCATTGGACGGTTGTTCCCCTTAGCTGATTAGGCGAAAAGTCTCGGGCTCACATCACACACGTACCTGTCGCTTCTGGAAGCTCGTGCATCGGCTGAGAGACCGACTTGGGTGCCCAGATCTTGGTATTGGTGCGAACAATCAGGCTGGGGGTGGCACACTAATTTAACATGCATACAGCAAGACGCTTGTCAGGGATTTACCCTCGCACTCCTCTTTCGTCCAGGACAGACATGCCCGGAGTACGGCTTATTACCGGACTGGCGGGTCACCATAGTCATACGTGAGCCTACATTTGTCTGACAGGTTCGCAATCTAGCCGCCAAAGATGGTCAGCAGATGAACTCCTCATGATGTACCTGACTTCCAATGGAAGTATTCCCGGCGTACCAATAGTACCCATCAGAGACTTGCGTAGTGGGTGCCATTTGTGCCGCACGCTGTGCCGATATCGACGTCCTTTTGTGCCAGTTCCTTTGTTCCTGGCTCTCGAGGCTCTTCAGAGCTCACGATCACGCCCGCGCGACATCTACGCAGGTGTCTCTGAGCATCTAGCTCCGAGCGTATAGTTCAGCAACCGCCAGGCTTCTGAGCATCAAAAGCAACATGTCTGGGCTCCAGCAGCCTGAGTTTCACCCTCTGAGCGTCTCAGATCAGCAGGACTTGGGGCCTCTCGACGGCGCAGACGGACCGAAAGACGCCGTAGAGCATTCCAAGAATGAGGAAGACGACACCAAATCGACCGTCTCATCAGAATTGTCAGACACAGACACGTTGGAGCTTCTCTCGCTGGCTTCGCGCCCAGAAACACCCGCCACCGAGACAAGAAAGCTACCGAGGGAGCTTGGTTTGAGCACGCCTGGGTGGTTCTCTGACTTTACAGATTATGAGTACGTCACAGTCAAATACCTTCATAGAACCTCATGGCACTGACATGATGAAGTGTCATCACGATCCATGGACTTCGCGACAATCACAACACCGTGTGGGAGTCGAGCAGCGGACAGGCATGGCTTCAGGACTCGCTCTTCAAAGACCTCTCCATCCGGCAGCTCGATTACATGTATGCCATTGATGACTCCGCACGGATCTTTCAACCGGATGGGATTCAAGTTGAAGCTCGGAACCTGCTGCATCTGTATGCTGAGAAAAGGCGCAACCTTCCGGAAGTCAGTAACTGCCTACAGCACATGTTGCTTCACGGCCTTTATGTAGTCTTCACTAGCTTACCTTTCCCACAGACAGAGATCAACAGGCCGATTATTTGGGTGTGTCATGACATTGGCGGCAACATCTTCAAGCAGGTTGGCTTTTCGTTTCCACTCTGCTGAGTCCATGACTGACAACCAGAAGGCTCTGATCGAAGCTTGTCGAGCCACTGTCCGTCAAGACTTTGACGATATCGAAACATGGGAATACACAAGGGAAGCCCGAGACCGGATTGTTAAATTTTCCACCGTGATGGTAAAACAATTATCCTTCCCTTTCTTACATTTATGATGCTTCCTGTTTTTGATCGCCAACACGTTTGCGTTGCAGATATCCCTTGGCTGCCCTCACAAGACAGAGTCCATGGATCGTCTTGAAGACGAAATCCATAACTTGATGACCCTGCCCGGTCCGGAACTCACAACCGGGCTGGTAAGAAAAGTCAAGAATATTGCCCGCCAAGTGAACGATATCAACACTAAGTTCCTGATTGCCAACTTCTTCTCGCGGTTGTTGCGCATCAACGTCTTTCCCCTCCAGTCCATTCTCCCCTCAGCGGACAAGCAAAAGCCTACGGATGCAGGAGTTTCGGAGTCAGTCAAGAACGATTCGGAAGTCGCAGATGCCGGCATCAGCGTGAAGGACGGCATTGAGGAAGAAGGTGGCCAGAATCCATTTCCTTCTGAGAATGTTGACGGCGATGGAAATGCAGATACTCGACAAGCCAAGCCTACTACATCTTCAGCCCTGGATACGCAAACTGAGAGAGTTATTGACACGGAACCTGAGCAAGACAACACAACTGATTCCGCGGTTGTAGTGGCCAAGAACAAAAGGGAAGCATTCAACAGTGGAGAGGGTTCCCAGAAGGCTCTGGTCGACCATGCCTTTGCACGTGCATCGCCATTCAGCCGATACACAAGCTGCCTGTTTGACATGTTTGAGCGTTACAATCGGCAACGTGAGGATAATATCGATCATGCTTCACTCGTCAAGGGCAGCGAAGGCCTCGTCGACGGTGATTTCAACTGGGTGTCCTTTTTTGGTACGAGGATTTGCGAAGGCTACTATGGTGAGTTGGATCTAAACTGACTCTTGAGCATCACTGAAAGTCATCTAGTCATAAAGGTCAACCACGACCTCAACGATTCTCAACTCGCCCTACTGTCCATGATGCCACCTGTGAAGCCAGTCAATCTGCACATCGATCCCGAGTTGACCCAGACACTGCCGTTTCTGGACTGGATTTTCACACACGAACGGTTCAAACGGTTTAATGAGAGCATCGGACCTTACACCTTGTGCATCCAAGGGACCGATGAAGATGCGTCACGGATGGCAATGATTTCCCAACATGTGTATACCAGGTACGAGGAGGAACAGATTCACAAAATGGTATGGGGAGAACCACAAGAAAGCGCTGCTTTTTACTTCCAATTCGACAAGTTTGACAGAAGATACAACGGCATCAAGCCTATGCTTGTCACCTTCCTCTCGAAGCTGACCTGGCACATGTGGTCGAAACCCGGGGAAGAGCGAGCGACTCGTCGCGTGTTTGAGAGCCTGGAATGGTACCGCAACTTGTCGCTTCCGGGGCTTTTCAACCTCTTTACAGAAATGAGGCGGTGCGCGGACGTGGGAAATATTGCCATCATCTTGAGCTGTTTCGACAGCTGTGTGGAAGAAGAGCGGAATTGGTTCCTCGCAAGAGTGCTGGAACACCAAAGCCGCACCGATGTCAATTATCGGCTCGTCATCACCACAAGCATGCAGGACCTATTCCTGAAGGATTCCCTTCCCGAAACGCAGGTGATCTCTCTGGACGAGTGCCCTGCCCCACTGGTCGGGTACGCCATTGACGAGAAGGAGTTCGATGCTAACGGACTTTGGCCATACCTAGAGGACGTGCTGAGGAAACGTCCGGTGTTGAGTGCTCTTGCCGGAAGTCTGAAGAATGCCATCGAGCAATGCCAAGCATCTCCTTACCTTGGCTACAGGATTCTGGAATGGCTTCGTCATTTTGGACGAGGGCTGCCCGTTGCCGAAATTGCCGCAACTGTCGAGCGTCTGCTACCCGCCACACCCGGGAACATTCTGTCAATGTTAATCCACGCTTTGCCTCAGGATAAACGAGTACTGGCACTTACGATCTATCGATGGGTGAAATATGCTCTAGAGCCATTGACCGTCGAGGCACTTGGCCATGCTCTGATTGTATCAACAGGGTCAAACACGTCATTGCTGGACATCGACTACGAACAGCTGCTTCGGGACATCACTGTGATGTTTGGTGGTATTATTGTCGTGAAAGATGGCTTCGTCACGTTTTCAAACGACTCGTTTTACGACACAAGCGTCCCCAACGGCGATGAAGACGAGAAGCCAGCATTGGTCCATGGCGTCCTGGCCGAAGCATGCTTGAAATACCTGATGCACCAGGAAGTGTTGCAGTTGTACGCCAAACTGTCAGTCGAGAACTATGGAGGAGACGTTTTAAGGAAGCCTCTTTCATCACCTCAAGACTCCATGTTGGAATATGCCGTTCGGTTCTGGGCGGAGCATTATCGTCTTTGCGAGTCCCATCGGCCTATCCAGCTGGCCCTCGATTTCTTTCACGGTACGGAGACGAGAAACAGATGGGCCGAGGCGCATTATCTTCTTTCGAACCCTTTTACACGCATTCACAGAGGTTATGTGTCCTCTCTGCCGTTGATGGCTGCATTAGGGCTCGAAGACCTCGTGTCTCGGCAAGTCGAAAAAGACCGAAACTTTGATTGGTTCCATCGAGACGCTTGGCTAGCCATCACAGAAGCCGCTAGAAACGGTCACGGAAGTGTGGTTCGTAATTTGCTGGAATATGTTCAGGTTGAAGAGCCGGGTCTGCAAGACGCAGTCACCTGGGCTACATCCTCTGGCGATGAGGGGATGTTGACTCGGTTACTGGATAGCGTTGGTATTCTTGACAGCTTTTCGTGGCCCAAAGACATTCTATCTCGAGCAGCGGCGTGTGGCTCGGAGTCTCTAGTTTCTGCCATCATCACAGCTGGTGTCGATCTAAACGAGCGGAATAACGACACCGGAGAGACGGCCATTCACACGGCCATTGCCTGGGGCAGTCAAGGAGTGGTCAAGCTCCTGTTGGATGCCAAGGTTGACTTAAGTGTTCGAGACAATTTTGGGAGAACTCCCCTTCTCTTATCTGCGGATGTTGGTCATCCAGAGATCGTCCAGATGCTCGTCGACGCAGGAGCCGATGTCAAAGACAAGAACACAAGCGGTTTCTCTGCTGTTAGCACCGCCATCTATGCGGGTGAGCACGCAGCACTAGCACGACTTCTCGGGGCCGGGGCAGATCCCGGCCCTGGGGAGCCTGCCGAAAATCTTTCCGAGTCACTATCACCTTTGTCTTACGCCGCTGAGCAGTGCAGGCTGCAATGCATTCGACTTCTTCTTGAGAAAGGGGCAGACGCTTGTATTGAATCCGAGCGAGGAAGCCCTTTGTATCTCCTGTGCAACTGGCCTCATGTCGCCGAAACCTGCCGTCTTCTCATCGAGAGAGGCGCAAACCCCAACCAAGTCTACAGTGATAAGGACATGCTCCTATTTCGGGCCTTGAAAACGGAAGATAAGGAACTGGTCGGTCTCCTTATTGACAAAGGTGCCAACGTGGACCTGTTGGACGCAAACGAAAACGCAAGCCGTGAGACACCCTTTGGGTATGCTATTTGGGCTTGTTCACTTGAGATGATGGAGTTCCTTCTACAAAAAGGAGCTTCTGTAAACAATGTCCCTGAAGGAGCCGTGTCTTCGCTCTTCACTGCAACCTTTTGGAATACCGACATCAAAAAGGCCGAGCTGCTCCTACAACACAAAGCCGACGTTCACTGGACAAGAAGTGACGGCTGGACCGCCCTTCATGCCTGTTATGACATGCCGGCATTTGTGTCTCTCCTTCTGAAGCACGGAGCGGATGTGAATAAGATGGCCCAGTGCGGGACTCCGTTGATGATGGCGGCAAGGTGGAATTATCTCGATACTCTTAAGACCCTCCTCCATCATCACCCGCTACCGAAACTCGACTTGAAGTTTGATTACGATCCAGAGGACTTCGAATACGGCATGACAGCACTGATGATTGCGGTCCGGAGCGGCAACCATGAGGGTGCGAGCCTTCTTCTTGAAGCGGGAGCTGGGCTGGACGATAAACTCAAGGACGCCGGATTCATCATGCAGACAGCCAATCCTGATGACTCTCAGGCAGCTCAGAAAATGATGCGAGATTTCCTGGATCGTGGGGCCAAGGTTGACCATGAGGATGAGGACAAGAACACTGCGCTCCATGGACTAACTTCATCGACCCCGGTCAAGATCTTGGAGATTCTAGCTGACCTAGGCGCTCCGGTGGACTCTCCAAACCAAGACGGGCTCACGCCGCTGGGAGTTGCTGTGAAGAATGGCAACATGCCCGCTGCAACATATCTCATCTCCAAGGGAGCCCGGGCGGATGTCCAGAACCCCAGCTTGGGCAACTTGCTTCATTTAGTCTGCCAACAGGACTACCCGAAAAATGAGACCGCCTTTGAGCTGTTCAAACTTCTCGTTGGTGCCGGAGCCAACTTGAACAGTGCCGGCCGAGAGCCAGCTCGCGAATCGTTGCTGCACGCCGTCGTGTGCGCGCCTTTCGAAAGACGCTCACGAACCAAGATAGTCCACTATCTGGTCAGCCACGTTAGTCCAGCCGTCGACGTCAACGCCCCTGGTGGAGACTTGGCATATCCAATCATTGCTGCTGCCCGCAAGGGCTACGACGATATACTTCAATATTTCGTCCGCCACGGCGCCAATATCAGTGTCTCTGACGATCTTGGCCGTCGTCCTATTCACTACCTAACCGGTCTCGGGCGTTGGAACTCCAACACGAGGCCGGTGCGAGTCCTTCTCAAGGCCAATGTTGACATTCAAGTAGCGGACAAATTTGGACGAACTGCTCTCCATTGGGCAGCTGGGTCCAAGGACCTGGAACTTCTTGAGTTGATTCTTAGAAAGCTTCCCAAAGGATACAATATCAACGTTCGAGACGGGGATGGATGGACACCGCTCATGTGGGCGTGTAGAACTTCTCAAGGTGCCCCATTCCCGGTCATTGACAAGCTGGTCACTACCTTGGGCGCCGACATCTTCCCCCGAAGCACTGATGGCGAGTGGTCGGCGATGAAGCTTGCGTGTCTCAGCAACCAGGAAGAAGACATCAAGGAGTTGCTGCAGCCTGTCGGGCATGAGAGCCAGCACGACGGCAAAGATGACTTTAAAGAAGTCTGGGACGTTGCTTTTCACAATATACCACCGGCACCGCCTCATTCCGGTCGTCCATACTGCGATAGCTGCTTTGCAGTAAGTTATCCCCTTTGACTCCTTGATTGAAATTCTTGTTCTCGTTCATTTCAACTGACAATCACTTTTTTCTTCTTTTCCCTGTAGGGAATGGTAGGAACACGTTACAAGTGCACCATTTGCGACGACTATGACCTGTGTTTCAAGTGCTTTCCAAGTCGTGATACAATGCACGATGCAAACCATGAGCTGAAGGAGTACTACGAAGATTGGTTTGTGGGCGAGGAAGACAGTGATTCTCCAGAAGAAGATGATGGCGCGGCTGGTGCATCGGACTCGAGAGAGGAAGACAAACCGAGTACGGACACGGACGATGAGGTTGAATACGATTCGGAGGTCGATGACTGAACCAGATAGACGCTTGTGGCAAGTGTCCGCTGCCTTGAGAGATTCAAATAACCAGTTAGGCGCACGAGTTAGTCTTCTATGAAACCTTTCATGTTGTGTTTTGCTAACGTCGTGTACCTCCAGTCCTCATTCTACCGAGCCTGACTTGATTCGCCTCATCAACTTCCAGGTTACATGTATCTACGACCCAACCCCCGACTTCGATTCGACTTCAAAGTCTCACGTAGGTCAACGTATATTCACATGCCATCAAGAAGGTATCCTCGCTGAGCAAAAAGCCATCCTTTTCGGGGGGTTCCTTTTGAGGGTCTCCAGGCCCTTGTGAAAGACGAGATCATTGCGTGCTTCTGCCTCTGTGTAAGTTAGGCTGTATCCTGCGTCATCAACTGGTCGTCTCTCGAAGTGCGTTTCTTGTTAGAAATTGATGCACGGGTCGGGCCGGATGCATGTCGATACGCGCCTGTCAGCTGCCAGGAACGGGGCACCACCTCTCCATGATACCGACGGGCTGGGAACCAACGCCAGAAGACGAAGCAAGACAAGATGCAAGGAATTATGAAATGATCTTACCGAGGCGGATGAATGGTCCGTATATGATAGTACGGCTGATTGGTCGGGTGGCGAGGGTGGCGAGTCCGGGCTTTGATCGCAGGGGATTCACTATAGAAGCAACCGCAGACTGCGGTTCTTCTCTTGTGTTCTTGTTCTACCATACTTGATCTCAGAAGGTTGTGTGAAGCCGAGACCTCTACGCGGGTCTCACCACACCACCTTGTCTCGGCCGTTGTGGCTCAGATACGGCCTTGGGGTGAGGCAGTACGCAAATGAAAAAAGATTTATGAAAAATATACAACCCCAGGTATTTGCTGGTCGTCACCGATCCAACTACTAATCTGGCCCTCAGTGGTCTCTTCCGGAAGGAGCGAAGGCAGCCTTTTCGTAATGGCTTCAATAACTTGAGGTGGTGGGCATTGCTCCTTGAAATGTAAGGAGCGGAGCATAGTAATTGCCGATAAAGAACAGTCTCATACGGCGAAGTCGACCGTTTTGTTCACGTTTCTCGCATTTTGGCACTAAGGGATGTCCCTGTAACAGGGCCAAATTCGGGGTTGCCTTAAGGACACCCTTGATGCTCAGGCGCGATGAGTGTGGGAGTATTGATTGTTGGGTATATTTGCCCTACTGAACGAAGAGGAAGAGGAGAATACGACCAATTTTGGTGGCTCGGTCGAATGCGTGTTGTATATTTTTTAGCACTTTCAACATTCGTAATCGATGCATTATCATGACATCAAAAATTGCATCATCGTATCCCCTCTCTGGAGACAAGTAGCTATATCGAGTCCTATTGTAATAAGCAATACAATATTCTTCCTCCTTTTCACCCCATACTGAAGCCCGACTTTAGGCAATGATGAGATCAATCTGGCTAGTGTCTATCGCATTTAAACATTGCAGGCATGGCTTTGGAGGGAGAATAGCAAGCTTCTTCCCAAGCTGTACACCCGCTGACGCCGCTGCTAATCTAGCTTGCCAGTTCCCGTTGGCCCTGAATATGCCTGTTGTCTCAGGCAGATCCAAGAATTCTGCCCATGAATCAATCGATACGAATCTCTTCTCTGCATTCAGCTGTTCCGTACTCTTGCTCTTGTGAGTGCATTTGGGCGCCATAACCAACCCATCATTACGGAACATCGCATTGATGTCTAAGTCGCCGATGTGGTTGGCCCCGTCGTTTGCCGAAACAACAGACTCGAGCAATATGGCAAGAGTGTCTCTCAAGCCGCGAACCCCGACATCAATGGGAAGCTCGAAGTCGGTAAAGGATAGATGCAAAGACATGCTCTGGAATTTGTCTTCAAAGTTTCCATCGAACGGTAGATGATTCACCAGGCGCCAGGAGCTAATGTCGTAACCATCTAGTCTCGGGTTGGATGGCGGGACGAGGAAAGCCATTTCGGATCGTCCAAGATTCCCGAACACCCGACAGACATCTTGCTCGGTTCCACAATCATAGGGATCAGATATCATGTCTGATCGCACATGGATCGAGTCGCCATAGGATAAAGCCATAACTCCATGAAGAAGTCTGGGGTCAATATTGAACCCCCCTGTTTCCATCATTGCTAGGCAGGCAAACGACACTGAAAGACGGTTGTCTACGTTGGTGACTATTCTCCCCCTGCTAAACTTTCACTGTCATTGCCAGAAGGAGAATAAGCCTGAAATAATACGACTGTAGATCACATGATGAGCTTGGGAATAGAAATTCCAAAAGAGAACTTACAGTGATCATGTTCTGACCGAGCATCGGATCCCGCCAAACTTTTAGGCGAGCTTATTGCATCTTTGTCTTCCCCTGGCTTTTTAGCTTGCAAATCTTGGTGTGTCGAGCTTTCAGTCGGTTCAAAACTGATTTCACGAGCATTCTCTCTTGTCCAGCGTGGGGCTTCTTGGACAAATTTCCCGGCCTGTTGAGCCCAAAGGGCTTCGTATAACGGCTTACCAGCCACTTCAACATTGATAGTAGCCCCTTCCAGGGTGTTGTAGAGTTCGGTTGCGAAGACCAACGCCTCTAATGAGCATTGTTGTTGAGCATTTCCATCCCATGTAGGATTTTTAACCAACCACGAACTGAGGTAAGATTGGAGCTTCTCAATATTGAGTGAAGGCGATGAAAGAAACAATCCAATCTCATCGATCGTAGCGTCTGACCCATTTGCACCCCTATTTTTTTGGTTGACCTTCGCACCTGCAGTTGCAAATATGGCTGTGCCTTCAACATCACCCAGCAGTAGCCAATAAACAGGCTCGTCCTTGTAGTTGATCCCTAGTTCAAAGCTCCAGTTGTCGGGGTTTGTCATATCTTGTGACCTTAAGACAACGTACTTCTCACCAGCATCTTCAATCGGTTGTAAGAGCCGCGGAAGATAACATCCAGCACAGCGCCTATCTATGGAACAGGCATGACCACGCTCAGCCTTCTCCTTCAGTAGTTTCAGCACGGCAGTTGAAGAGTTGCAGTGAAGCATTCCCTCCTTATTCATGTGACAGGACATGGTGCAAATTGAGCCAGCCTTTGCGCAAGGACATTCTGGTCCTCCTTGGAACTTACAGCTGCACACGTTCCCGTCGCAGCTCACTTCTCCAAGAGCGACGTTCCAGAATGGGCATGGAATATTGAATCCGTTGGCTTTATGGCAAAGAAATGTACAGCCGTAACCCAAGCCTGAACATGAACAGACGCCGATTGCCTCCTTGTCCACACAGGGGCAATCGTTGCCGCAATGTCTTTCGGTATATTTTGGTTCGGGACGACAATCCATCGGCTATGGTTTGGTTGTAAATCTCTGCGCTGTCGTTTAACCCTTGGTACGGTATCACTGCTGGAACAGGTTGACCGCAACGCGTCTGACGGTAGAACTGTAGCAAACATGTATGAGAGACCATATTGACTCGAATATCGAGCTGTACCCGGTTGGACGTATTCCTGATAGCGGATGAGAAGTTTATCGGAATTTCCACCTAAGGATGATGCAATCTCCCGAAAAATTGAAATTTTTGTTTCAGCCTCAGATATGAAGTCCTGGAGAATGGAGAACTTGCATAAACCGAAGAAGTTAGGCGGGTTGAGTTGAACTTCGTTCAAAACGTTACGGCACCATCGTAATCCCAACCTAAGCAGTTGTTGAGACTGAAGACGATCTACTTCAGTTCCATTGGTCAGCTTCTGCGCGGCGTCCGCCAGAAACTTCAACCATTTAATGGAAACTTTTGGCTCATTAACGAGTTGAGATAACTGGATAATGAGTCTGCACCCTTTCTCGACACTTGGACAAAAAGCCTCCCATTGAGAAATGATTGCACCAAGTACAATAAGCCAGAATTCTTGTATAGTAACCCGAGAGGTTTTTGATGCGATATGGCGTTCTGCCATCACCGGGGCGGAGTAGTAGCGCATTCGAGCCAATGGAAGTGACCAGAACACACCTTCCTTGTTGTGGGATGCACCCTGGGATGAAATGGTGATTAAAGACTCGTTCATGAGCTCGTCGTGTTGTTTGATATGTTTAACTTCCTCAAGAAGAACTTCCATGTCAGGGTACAGGTGCCATGATGACATTGCCAGGAGGATGGCGCCATTTTGTACCCGTTGAGGTATTCCCTGTATCAATCGGTCCATAGCAATCATTCCCGAAACCCAGGCTTCGACCACACTCTCATACGAATCTTTCTTAGAATTAACTGGCAGTCGAACGTTGCTAATAATCAGCATGAGTTGTGTTTGCTGAAGTCTGCGGTCGGCATCTGCAGTCTGAAGCCAAGAACGAGCACTTGCGTCCCAGAACGCAAGTTGTTGACGGGAGAACCCCTGCTTTGAAGCCATAAGTGAAGGGATTTCAATGGCATTCGTGCCTTCGTACTTGTTAAGAATCTCTTGTTTTCGTCGGTCGACAAGCTCGGCCCACAAGGATATAGCTTCATGGCTTTTCCAGATCCTTGCCAACATACAAGCCAACAGATGAATGGCGATGGCACCGCGGCCTGAAGTAGCAGCTGCCCAGATGCTGGTGCCGTCTGGGCCGGCCTGAGACGCGAAAAGTCCCGACTCGAAGGCATTGGGCGATTTGATTTTGGAACGACTCGATACGGCAGATGCCCGCTTGCCGTACGCCTGGTAGAGATTTGGAACAGGCGGGACTAAGGCCTCGAATAGCGCACCAAGCTTTCTGGCCGTGACGTGAGACTGGCCACCCTAAGCCTCGTCTCGTTTGTGGGCTGAAAGAGATTCGCCAACCCCGAGGAACTCCTTGGGCGCCTCAACCTTCATAAGAGAGAAGTCCAGGTTGAAGTTGGCGGCGGTGACCGTAAGCTCCTGCGGTACCGAGACCAGTGCAGCATGGAGCTTCGAGATCTGGTCCATCTTTGGAAAAAGTAACTGAGACGCTAGGAGAGCAGAGCCGGGCTACTTCGTATCTTCATAAACGAAGCGGGAAAAGAGTAGCAAGGAGTGACGACCTGGAACATGAACTGACTGATTCTGCAATTGTGCGCTCAGGCTTTCCATGCTTGCAAATACAATGTTCTGTATCATAATTTGAAAGGATGTAAAGCATGAAAACCCGAGTCTTTGAATAGAGGTCGGGCAGCAACACAGCCAGGCATCTATGCAGGCCAAATGCAGTCAGCCGCTACTATGTTAGAGCGGATGTCATTCACACGGTGTCGATCCAATAGGACAACAAACCTCCTCATTGGGCGTAGCGCGGTACTCACTGACTGATAGATTTATCAAAGAGTGCAAATTCTATGCTCTCAATCTAATTTATTCTCGCTTGATTACCTCTTTTTCTCAAACGGGTGAAGGGAAGAAGAACGGGTGGGCGAGCGGCGTGCACCGGTTAAGAGGTCAGTCAATCCGGCTCAGCATCCTCTACCCCCATAACGTATACGCAGTTGGTTGTCTAGCCCGTGAGTCCGATGGCGTAGGCTATTGGAAGCGAACTAGAAGCTACGTTGTACTTTGAGAAAAGAAACCCCTCACCAAAACAGGGGAGGCGTAGATCAGCGAAAGTGGGATGCATGCCGTTTAAACACAGGATAGGGGAAAGGAAGCGGTCGACGTCGTTCTGTAAGTAAACAACAGGCAAACGGCTAGCGGCATCACCGTTTCCGCAGTGCCTTAGTCAGCATGGGAACCCGCTCTTCTAGAGGAGCCTCTTCTCAAAGCATCGTCGCCCACCGCAGCAAAAGGACATTGCAACGTCAACAAAAAAACATACAACACCAGGTATTCGCTGGTCGTCACCGACCCAACTACTAATCCGGCCCTCACTGGCTTATCTATGGGAGAGCGGACGGGATCCCGAGTTCTCCAGTGGGTATGGTCGTATGTGCTAGAACTGGACTCAAGACTTGACTATATTCCACAAACAGTAAACGTTGCCAGAGCCGCCATTGCCACCACTCACCTTTACAATACTATTTGCGGTAGTTGTGAATGCGCATATTCTACGAACGACTTAACTGGAAACCAGCTTGTCGAGCTGCGGCTAAACTGTTTGTGACTGAGGGCCTAGGCTGAATGTACTCCACGATGGCCTTGGGAAGCATGGCGCACTCGTGATTCGAACCCTGATAGATGACGAACCTCTCTGTAGGCAGTGTATGACGAGAGGAATCTTTACCGTAGCAGTAGCCACATGCTCAAAGCACGGATTCGCCGAATGCGCGAGCGGTCGCCAAGTCCACTTCCAGATCCTTGACCCGACCCCGACCCCGAAACGCCCGGCCCCGGCCGCCCACGCCGGCACCGATGCGGGGTTACTTCCCCCTCCCGGGGCCGGGGTTCGCTGACGTGATTCCAGACGACACATTGCACATTGCTTTCGATAAGGCACCTCCCCGCCTCCCTACCTTGTTTAGTTAAGGCCATTCGCGACATACACGCCGAAGGAGTCACCCCGTCCAGCTCGGGACTCTTGTTATAGGCGGACCTTTTGCAAGCTGGTCTTGCATGGGTGATTGGCGACGTGGTCGTTTTGTGAATCCCCGCGCGATCAAAGAACACGGTGCCGGGACAGCGAAGCCTAGTCCTCAGTGACGGAAAGATATATACCTCCATCGCATGCCGCCCATGCTCAAGCCCGACTTGACCGCAACTCACCCGCATGGCCATCTCTTCTGACACAGACATCGTGAAGTAGAAAAGGAAAAAGAAAGATAGCCAGACAACAGTAGTAAAGGCCTGGAACCAGCCAAACATGTCCTCCTTCCCACCCCCCTCCTCCCAAAGGCCCTCCCCCACGGCGCCAAGATCGGCCTCGTCTCCCCCTCGGCCCGCATAAACACCACGATGCCCGCCACCGTGGCCCGTGCCGAGGCCCTCCTGCGCTCTCTGGGCTACACCGTGACGACAATCTTTTCCAACCCGGGGGAGTCCTCGGACCCGACCGCCTCGGATGACGACGCCGGCCCCATCGACGCCTCGATCCGCAACCGCCTCGCCGAGCTCCGCGCCGCCTTCGCCGACCCCACCATCGACATGGTCCTCTGCACCTGCGGCGGCTCCACGCTGACCGAGCTCATCCCCTACCTCGTCGAGGACGCGCCCCTCCACGCCCTGGTCCGCGCGAACCCCAAAATCCTCATCGGCTACTCCGACATCACCGTCCTGCACTGGTGCCTCCGCGCCCTCACGGGCCTGCGCACCTTTTACGGGCCCTGCGCGTCCACCGAGCTCGGCGGCGACGTGGCCTCCACCCCGTCCTCCGTCTCCTCCTTCTCCCCGTCCACCTCGGCACCGGAGGACCCGGCTGAGAACGACGCCTACCTCCATGAGTTCCACCTCGCGACTCTGCTCCAGACGGTCTCGCGCCCCGGCCAGCCCCTGGGCCCGATCCCCCGCTCCCGATTCTACGCGCCCCTGATCCCCTCCGACTTCTTGCCGCCCGCGTCGCGCCCGCCAGCGGACACGCGGCCCCTCCTCCCCTCCCCGGCGTGGACCTGGCTCCGCCCCGGCCGTGCCGAGGGCCGCCTCTTCGGCGGGTGCCTCACCGTCGTCTCCCGCATCCAGGGCATCCCGCGCATCACCCCCGACTGGCGCGGCAGGATCCTCTTCCTCGAGTCCGCGATGGCCGAGGGCGATCTGACCAAGGGGAACCCGTTGGCGAGGGTGCAGCAGGCCGTCGCGGACCTCGCGGCGCGCGGCGTGTTTGACGAGCTCGCGGGGCTCGTCATCGGGCGGCCGTACGGGTACAACACGGACAAGCAGAGGGCCGAGTACGCGGCCGTGTTCCGGGGCCTGCTTTGCTACGGCCGGTTGGCGGATCGCAAGTTTCCCATCCTGATGAACGTCGATGTCGGCCATACCTCGCCCATGGTGACGTTGCCAATGGACGCGCTGGCGGTGCTGGACTCGGACAAGGATGAGTTCGCCATCACGGAGGCGGCCGTGATCTAGCCGCAGCAGCAGCGACGGACGGTAGCTTTTGCTGGTATGGGAATCAGGACCGCAAAGCAAGCACCCCTCTGATAGATGGAACGAGTCATGGTATATAGGCGGCTGGCTAGCCTGTGGGTATTATTTGTATTACATGCTTATGACATATCTCACCTAGTCATACCCGTTTCCACCTCCCCATCATTTCCCGACTTTGCTAATGTTTCCCATTCATGTTCGTGTTTTGTCATGTGAAAAAGTAAAGTCCCCTTTGCCCAGCGGCGACGGACTACCTCTGAACCCCGCCAACCAGAAAAGGCAGGAAAAAAACTCTCGAGGAAATGACTCCGAACGCTTCGCTGATGCAATTTCTGGGGGTTTTCCCCGTTATGTGTGTACGATAGAAAAGTGACCGTATGCTGTCGTAGAAGAATATAGATGTGTAAGTATCGAGGCACCTGCTGTGCTTCATGCCGAGTCGTCCGTTCTTGTCGACTGGACTACTGGCAGATCGACGCTATGTGATAGTGTTGATGCGGCTCCTGGAGCTGCGCATCAATAGAGTTGTAGTGGTCAACGCCATGCGGCGATTTCTGCGCCTAGTAGAAACCTTCGTTGGTGTTGCTCCTGGAGCTGGGTGTTGACTGAGCCGAGCTACTAGCGTCGCTGGGCGTGGGCGGCTCCACGACCTGGCTGCGAATCGTCATGATCCACTCGTGCTGCAGGAGCTCAACGGCGGACGCCCGTTGCTTGGGGTCCCTCGTGAAGCACCTCTTCAAGAAGTCGATACCCTGAGGGCTGAGCTGGTCGGTCGACGGCATCTGAGGAGGGTTGCCCTGCGCGATGTTGTACATGATGGCCCATTCGTTGTCCAGGTTGGCCCAAGGACGGCGACCGGTTGCCATTTCGAGAATGACGCAACCCAGCGACCAAATGTCGACTGAGCCGGCCCTGCCGGGGTTCTCGCCCTTGATCACTTCGGGAGACATGTACATTGGCGTTCCCGTCATCGACTTGTTTGGCTTGGTGGAGGCGAGATCCTGGACGAGGGTCTTGCCTTGTCTGGCGATGACCTTGGCGGCACCAAAGTCGACATACTTGATGATACCGTTGTGGTCGAGGAGAATGTCTGCGAAAGGTTAGTATATATATCATCAACCTCAAGAAGAAGTACTCACTCTCAGGTTTAATATCGCGGTGGGCAATGCCGCTCTCGTGGAGGTAGGCAAGACCCTCAAGCAGCTGCAACGCGTAAACCATGATAACTTGCTCGTCCTCGATACGGCCGTGCTCCAACAGGTTCGCCAGAGACCCACCCTGACAGAACTCCATGAAGATGTAGACTCTGTCGCGGTGGACCTCGATTCCGTAGTAGGAGACGACGTTGGGATGGTCGAGAACCTCCAAGACACCCATTTCGTCCTTGATCTGCTCGGCAATGGTGGGGATCAGCTTTGGATCCTGCAGGCGGATTTCCTTGACGGCCATCAGGTGACCAGAGTCCAGGTTCATGGCGGCGTAAACGTTGCCAAAAGTACCGCCACCGACAAAGTGGCCCTGTTGCCAGCGCATCGTGATGTTGGTGGCCGAGGATGAGAGATAGGCCAAGGATCGGTCGACCTCGTTGTTGCCTTCGAGCACGCGACCCAGCGCTTGTCTCTCAGCCTCCTTGGCCCTCCTGATCTCGTCAACCTTCTCGAGCTCCTCCAAACGTTGCTCCGTGATATATTTGGAGGCTTCGTGGTCGTCCAGCATTCGATTTTTATCGAGGCGCTTGAACTGCCCGACCAAAGCCTCGATGCGCTCCTTCTCTGCCTGCGCCGCCAGGTTGGATCTTGCCCCCATGATGTCAAAGTGCGAGATGAGGAGAGCCATGCAGCCGGCTACCTTGGCCCGAAGTCTGGCATACTCTTCCTCGCCCAGAGCCAGGATGTGTCGTCCTCTGGTCATTCCCATGGCAAACTCCAGAGCCAGGACCGCCCAGCGGAACGTCTTTCGATCCGATGCGATACAGTCGTCGCAGATGAAGCTAACCCAGTCCAAGGCAAGCTTGGTGAGCTTGAGGTTGTTCATTTGTTTCCGGTTGCTGTCCATGACAAGCAGCGAGCGCTGGCCGAATTCTGTCGCGAAGACGAAGCAGGTCTGGATAAGCTCCTGGACCTCTCTGCCTTCGGTTTGTTTGCGGATGATCTCGACACTGTCCATGAAGTTGTTGGACAGCTTGTATGCGACGCGCCTGATCTCCATGAGGCGCGTGTTAACCTTGTGCAAGTTCGATCTCTGCTCCACCACCAGGTCCACATGCATGTCGACGGCATCGATAAAGGCCCTTCTTGCGTCGACGAGCCGCGCTTGGGCGCCCACAGCGACGAGTCTCATGTGGCCCTTCTTCAAGTCGACATTCCGTTCCCGAACCGAGAGCTGGACCACATCACCGAACCAGTGAGGGTTGCTTTCAGGCCGCAGGATCAAGAGATACGGGTCGCTGGGGTCCTCTGCGAACTGTTCGGGCGAGCTGAGACCCAGGATGGAGTGGATCGCGTCGTGTCTGTCCATCAGAGAAGGCGATGCCATGATGTAGATGCCTTCTTGCTCGTAAAGGTCTGTGAAGACTTGGAAGTGGCCCGACACGATGAGTCTGTCGTAGAACTCCTGCAGCTTCTCCGGCGTGAATGCAATGCTGAAGTCGGACGCGTTCTCGTAGTTTTCGCTCAACATCTTGGAGAAACGTTGCAGCATCCGTTGTCGCACTCGGACCGAGTCCAAACACTGCTTGTATCTCTTGCTCATCTCGGCGGTGCTCTCTCTCGGCTTCACCTGGAGCTCTTTCTCAAAGGTAACACTGAGACGGTTGATGGCCTTGAATGTCAGCGAACTGAACTGCTCAGCAACCTCGACGTCTCCACCCAGAAGGTGACTGCCAATCTCGTTGGCAAAGTCCCATTCCGCAAACAAAAGTTCGGCCTCCTTGAAGGTGTTTTTGTTACCGCTCAACTTCCAGTTGAGCATCTTGAAGTAGTATTTGAGAGCGTCCAGCACGACCTGGTCAAAGGACTCGTCGATGCAGGGCGGGAGCTCCCAGCCGGGTTCCGGTTGTGTGACGGCAAGGCATTCCAGCTTGATGCGGATAGCCAGCTTCAGGAGCAACTGAAACTGGGAGATCATTTGGTCTTGCATCATGGGGTTCTGCTGTGCAGACTCCTTGACCTTCTTAGCGTAAGCGAGCCTTACTTTGATAATCTCCTCAATCAGTCGGGACGGAAAACTGATGAGCGTCAGAAGCTCCTCAATGTATGGTGGGAGATGTCGTTTCTGGAAAGCGGCGAAGTTGCGAATGAGCGTCTCTTTGGATTTGTTGATGACGGTCGAGATGCCGGGCAACATGCCCTTGTGAGCATCCTTGTTCTTCTCGTCGTCAAACTCCTCGTCGTAGAGTGATCTCAGGCCATCCTCCTTCATCAGTCGGTCGAGGAATGACGATTCATCGCTGATGCCGTTGCCAACGGGTGAACGTTGTCGTGTCCGCGTGAAGTCCAGCTCGTCGTTGCCAACCCACTTCTTGAGAATGGCGAGCTCCGTGTTGATGAGCTCATTGGTGTTGTACCACGCAATGATGGATTCGGATGCTTCTTGGAAGAGCGGAGAGCTGGCCGATTGGTGCTCGGCGGCCAATGAGGTCCACGAGGGGTATAGGCCCTCGGCCTTGTCGAGCTTCATCACCACATCCTTCACCTGCTCGTATGGCGGCTTCCCAGCCTCGCTCTCGCCCTTGACGGAGAAGTTGATGATTTCGTCCAGAGTGCGGTCCAACGTTGCGCGTGCCTCTTCCACCATTCTTCTTTGCACCGGGAGATGTCTCCCGCATACTTTTGAGCGAATACCCAGCCATAATTCCGCTTTTTGCCCACTCTTGCCAACTGCTTGCTCGTTGGATCCGATCAAGCGCTTCTTTTCTTGCTTGACGACGTCTCCGGTCAGGACGGCCTCCAACATGCCATGCCACTCCAGTCGTTCCCGGTTGGTGGGGTCTTTCAGATCTTCGTCGCTCGGTTGCAGGTCGTCGTTGCCGTAGAACATGATGGTCTCCTGGTCGTACCTGTCGTCGAAGGGGCCCTCGGACGAGGGCGTCTCCCCTTCGGAGTCGGAATCGGCGCCCTGGCTCATCCCGTTTATGCCGTTCACGTATCCGCCGTCGAACGGATAGCCATCGTTGTGATCCTGGCGCAGCCTCTGGACGTAGGCCCTTTCCTGCTGGCGGAACCTCTCGCTCGGGCGAGGGCGGCCCCTGGATGATGCTCGAACCGATTCGATGAAGGAGGGAGCGGGCTGCGGCCTACGGTGGGCGGCCGGAGCGTACGTGTTGGAGGGCGTCCTCGCGGGGGCGCTGGGCCGTTGGACTTTGGTTGTGGTAGTGCCATTGGCGTACGCGACGTCGCCGTCGCTGACGTTGCTTCGCAGACTACGGGTGGTGCCGCCATTGGCCGCGGCAGCCTGGACGAGATTCGTCATGGAGCCGGCGATGTGGCCCTCGGAGTACCTGGCAAGGGAACCGACTTCATCCTGGCGTTCGAGTGCGTGCGGGTCGTCGGGATGGGAATCGGCAGACGAGGCAGAGTTGTCCGAGTCGACGGCGATGGGCAGGGGACGATGAGGCATGATCTTTTCTGGGCGCAATTCGTCGTCTCCGTTGGAGAATCTCACAGCACGAGGGGACGGCTCGGTGGACATTTTGCGAGGGCCTGGTTGTATATCGGCTCGGCCTCGGGTTGGGGGCGGGTCCCTTGTCCTGTCGTGTGGTGGTGGTGGTGTTGGTAGGAGTGGTAGTGGTGAGGCGAAGGGTTCCCGATACGGGCGTGGTTAGCCGTTCGCGCCTCAGTCGCCGCTCAGTGCTGCAGCTCCCTGTGGATCCTCCGTCCGAAAAAGAGGGACAGGACACAGCAGCATGCAAAGGTGAACGGAGTGGGGGGGAGAGGCGACAGAAGACGGAGGCGCAATGCAAGTCAACTGTTTGGGTGCGAATGGAACGGAAATTAGGATGACATGAGGTAACCGTATCCGCGTCGGTTGGCGACTTGGGCACTTGGGATGGAGGGGGGCTAGACCGATTCGAATGGCAGATTGAGGTGGTTGACCGTAGCCCTCGGTGTGGGCGGGGAGGAGCGAGACGGGAAAGGGAAAAAAATGCTAGAGAAAAAGATCACGAAGCAGTCGGAGCACCCGCGGTCGAAATGAGCTCGACGTGAAATTTGATATGGAGAGGACGGAGCGAGCCAAAGGGACCAGCGAACGAGGAGGGAGCGCAACAGCGTCCGGCCGGTGCTGGCGGGCAGCGATTGGCTGAGCCAGAGGCTAGAGATTCTACCTGGAGAGAGCCCCAGTAGCTGCCAGCACAAGGATTCGGCGGGCAATCAGCGGGGACAAAACAACCCTCCCGAGAACGGTAGGTATAGCAGCGCTAGCAGCGCGGCCTTGTCGAGTCGGAGTGACGGAGAGACGATGCCAGGTACTACAGCGAAGGAGCACGATGCTGTGATTCTTTTTTTTATTTTTTACAGAGTCAACAACGATGCTGCAGCTTTGCTGTTGCTGGAGTGCCGATTGCAACCTGTGGGAATACCCTCTGTTGCTGTTGGGGCCGGCGTCCGTTATCAAATGTTGCCGCGGCCGTGCTCACGCTGCATGCAAACCCGCAAATGTAGTTGGAGCACCGGAGAGCGACACCAGACACACGAATTAAACAAGGTGAGAGAGCAGGGGGGGATACATCTCAGCGGGAGCTTTTGCGGGGGCCCCTTTGCCGAGGGTGCCACGGTGCTTTAGCCTCTTCCTTGGGGGCTTGGGGCGAGCAGTTGTTGAATAACAATTCTGCACTACGGTGGCACGTAGGAGAAAGGGAAACTCGCCGCAAAAAGGTAGAGAGGGACGACGCAAAGAGGCGGCTTGGACGGTTCAGAGGTGTGGCTGCGTGGCACCCCCCCTTTCCGCCCCCCTTGTCAAACCATGCGATTTTCCGCCCATGTGTGGCCGCGGCCATCGAGCCATGCGCGGCGCGATCGAGAACCAACGTCTGACAGATCCGGCACGCTCTCAGCTCAGGACTGCGAGGCAGGCCTGGAGTTTGTGGCGAGTGCCCACGCAACACCCCCCCCCCCCCACCACGGTGCTCCCTGTACACTTCGACGTGGCGCGCCGCCGTGGTGGTAGCCCTTTGCTTTTTCTCGCTGGTGAAGCTCTCGGCCTGGCCGTGCCTTGGACGGTCTGCGATGGCATGCCGGTATTGCGAGCCGACGTGTGTTCCCTGCCAGTTGTTGTCGATGACACGGTCCGGATAAGCAGTCAGCAGCATGCAGGTCTGTCACGTCTGTGTCTTACGTCCGGCGTCTGGTGAGCTGTGTGGTGGTGAGGTGAGAGCTTTGGCGAAAAAGTTGTGGAGAGCTTTGCCCAGCTGCCTACTACTATGCCGTGCTTGCCAGCTCCATACGCCATGCCAATCTGATGCTCTGCGGTCTATCGAGCAATGTGGATGCCGATCTTGTGCCACTGGGCATGGGCTTGTTGAGACGGAGGGAAGAACCCGCTTGTCTCTGATCGAGATTTGTGATGCACGACTAGAAACGCGTACTGTTGAGCTGTTAAGCTTTTTGTGTGTCGCACATGTTGCATCCGCTGTCAGTGGCTGTAAGCTAGCTCCTTCGTCTTCCTCTCCCACTGTCCACAACCATGGCTGTCGGTGCTGCGAACCGTTCCATGGGGAATCTGGTGCGATCCATCCGCCTTGCTGTTCTCATCAGTCCAGCAAGTAGGTACCAGACAGCCAACACGTGCTTCATTTCTTCCCTTTCTCCTATTAGTCGGCAAAAACGTCTTGAAACAATACCTGGCATGACCACTTACACCAAAGTGATTGTATCCGCATCGATGCCTTGCAGCTCATTACCGATTCGTCCTCGAGACTACATGACGAATTGTCATTTCACTGCACATTCGGCTTATCAAGCAGTTTGACAGCTGTGAGCCCTGCCCGATTAACCATACCCTATGGTATCTTAGTTACGTATGCAATTTTTTTTTCTCAACTCGGTAAACGACACGAGGGTATCTATTGACGAGAAACCGTCATCAAGTGATGAAGACGGAGCTGTCAAACTCATGCAGCACTTTGGGTGGGTGGTCGCTTTTGTAACGGGCACTTACACCCATCAACTCACTGAGCGGGAAGAAATGAGATTCGACTTTGAGCGCACGTACATCATCCAAATGACGACTTGCCAGGCATCATTGCACCTTTGAATCGCCAAAGACCTCGATGTCCAAGAAGAGCTTGGTTGGAAGCCATTCCACGGTGAATACCCAAGCTTTGCCGGAGACTTGTGCTGACCGCATACCATTGGTGGAAATCCCCTGAGCCCAGATTGCTGACTGAGGCTCAAGTTGACGCCCTCATGTCCTTTGTCAATGTCCCAATGTCCTAATTAGCGTAGAGGTATGCGAGCAGCTTGAACAATCTCGATACCCGTGACTTCTGCGATTTCTTGTCCCCATGTTCCAGATGACATCTGATCTAGACGACGATGGTCCCCATGTAACAAGGCGCAATCACCACACGTGGTTGCAAGCCTATGTTTGCAACGGGTTCACCGTTCGAAGCAACTGCTATCTTCTTGCTAGAGTCAAGAAGAACGCCGTCATTCTTCATCTGCCCATGACTCGAGCAGCTCCCTCGGGTCGAAACAGCTCATCTTATTGGAGCTCATTGCATTCAAGGGAAGGACTACATGCGTTCACTCGAGGAACCCGGTAGGCTTCCACAATCAAGATAAGCGCGCCCGCGCGGTTACGAGACCGCCGTCGTTGGGAAGACACCCGACACCTCAGCCCTGTCCCTCTCGAAAGCTTCAGTCCGCGGATGCCATACCGAGCATTCGGGTCCTGGACCGAGGGCACGACCTCCAATTCGCCAATCAGAGAGCTGGGAGCTCGGCCTGCATCGGGCCCGCACCCTTCTTATCGCATGCCGATCCCTTATCGGTCAAGGGAAAGCTCCCCGTCCCTCAGACCTCCCCCCCGCGTCGGCACTCTCGTCTCCCTCGTTCTTGAGGGAAACTTTCTTTGCCTTTTCCCCCCTTCCAAACCACAAGAACGCACCTCAATTCACTTCGCAAAGATGACACGATCACGATTGGTAGCAGCCGCGAGGACGGCCAGGCCGCTCTTTGTCTCGCCCGCCCGCCAGGGCCGGTCCCTCGCCGGATTGACGACGTCCTCCACCACGGCTCCGGCCCCGAGAACGACGACCGCCCCGCTACGTCAACCATCACAATACCGTCTCTACTCCTCCTCCTCCTCCTCCTCCTCCGAGTCCCGCAAAAACTGGAAAGAGAAGCTCGCCGCCTTCTCCAAGCAGGACAAGACGCCGCTGTACGACTTCCACATTGCCCATGGCGGCAAGATGGTCATCTTCGGCGGCCACCACATGCCGGTGCAGTACGCCGGCCTCTCCCTCACCGAGTCCCACCACTTCACTCGCACCCACGCCTCCCTCTTCGACGTCAGCCACATGGTGCAGCACCGCTTCACCGGCCCGCGCGCCGCTGCCTTCCTGGAGACCGTCACCCCGTCGAGCGTCGCCGACATGGAGGTCAACACCAGCAAGCTCAGCACGTTCCTGTGGCCGGGCACGGGCGGCATCGTCGACGACACCATGATCACGCGCCTTGGCGAGGAGGAGTTCGCCGTCGTTTCCAATGCGGGCACCCGGGACAAGATCTTCAAGTACCTCACCGAGCAGACGGCGGAGCTGCAGAACCCCGAGGGCAAGGAGTTCTGGTGGGAGGTGCTCGAGGGCTACGGGCTGATCGCCCTGCAGGGCCCCCAGAGCGCCGAGATCCTCCAGGAGGTCGTCGACCCGGCCGACGGCGTGGACCTGACGAGCCTGTACTTTGGCAACACCGCCTTCGCCCGGCTGAGGTACCAGGTCGACGGCCAGTGGAAGTCGACGTCGGACAAGGCCATGATCAGCCGCGGAGGCTACACCGGCGAGGACGGCTTCGAGATCTCGTTCAAGTCGACCAACGGCGAGGCGGACCCGCTGGCCCGGACGCTGCTGAAGGTCGCCGGGCCCGAGAGGCTCCAGCTTGCGGGCCTCGGCGCAAGAGACAGCCTGCGCCTCGAGGCCGGCATGTGCCTGTACGGTCACGACATTGACGACACGACGACGCCGGTGGAGGGCAGCCTGTCGTGGATCATCCCCAAGGAGCGGAGGTCCAAGGGCGGCTTCCACGGCGCCGAGGTCATCAACAAGCAGATTGTGCCCAAGAGCAAGGGCGGCACCGGCATCACGAGACGCCGCGTGGGCTTCGTGGTGAGTGGCGCGCCCGCTCGCGAGGGCGCCGAGATCTTCACCAAGGACGGCGAAAAGGTCGGCGTCATCACCAGTGGCTCGCCCAGCCCGACGTTGGGTAAGAACATTGCCATGGGGTATGTCAAGGAGGGCCTGCACAAGTCGGGCACCGAGTTGGACGTGGTGGTGCGAGGAAGGAAGAGGGCGGCGACGGTGGCCAAGATGCCGTTCGTGCCCAGCAAGTACTTCAAAGGACCGATTCCCGCGCCTGCGTGATGGTCCGCCGGCTGTATCAATAGAAGTTTAAAGATATCCCAGCAGTTCCAGCGCCAACCCGCCCCGCCCCGTCTCATCCTCCGCGTGTAGCAGGCAACGCTATCCGATTTTAAGGTACCCCTGTCGGCGTCTTGTCATTCAAGCATAAATCCGCATCTGATAAGATCAAACGTCGAGCGTAGTTTCAAGCCGACATTGTGTGGTTTGAGACATGTAGCCACTTCTTCATGGGAGGCCATCACGGAAGCGAAAAGCGATGACGACCCTCAAACGAGCGGCTGGATAATCTGGCAACGATAACCTGGAGTGCGGCAAACATGGTAGAGGTTGACTAGCAGCGTGTATTGACAGGATCGTGTTGCGTTTGAATGTGAAGAAAAAGGGAAAAAGGGAAAGAAAGAACGAGCGCAGAAATCTTTTGGTGTTTGGCGGATGGAGCCTCAGCGCTAGAGCGGATCCGGATTAGTTTCGGGTTGCTTGGCGAAAGTGGGGGGGGGCCTTCTGGAACTGTGCTTTGGAGAGGCACTTGAGCCGGGTTTCGTTGTGCTTCGACAACTCTTTGTCCGGTTACACTTGCCCGACCGTTGCAGGCCAGTGCCCTAAAACCCGACCGTGATGCGAGTTTAGTGACCGTGGGCGGGATACTTTTCAATGACAGAAACGTATCTTGCCAAGCAAGCCGGGACATGCGGTGGTTCCTAGATCGGCTCGAGTTAGACGTCGATCTGACTGGCTGTTACATCGACAGGACAGGACCCCTAGAAAGGATCGGATGTGCTACTCAGCCAACTGACCAGATGAGGGGAGCACACCGCATAACAAAGACTCTGCGACATTGGGAAAAGAGAATTGATTGTGAAGTAACTTGATAGGTCTCCCGTCGCATTGTCATCCTGCCGGCTTTCTTCCGTGTAGCATTCCAGAAGGGTTCGGCCGGCAGACGCCAAAGTCAAATTGATGGGCATGACGTCAGAAATGTTGGTTGGGAAACCGACAACAGCCGATGCATGGTGGGAGAAAAAGTGCTGAGAGATGTTGCGACTTTCTCGGGCTGTAAGCATGAAGAACTGCCTTGGCGCTTCCAGGTGGAACAGTAAGAGGGAACGGGAGCAATCCATGGCTATGTGATATTTCGGAGCATCACGCGGGCCTTACGATGGGAGCGGGCAGATCAAGCGACGGTCTGGAGCAAGTGCCGGATTGACTCGCGCCAACCAGCCCACCCCAGATGCGGCGATGCGGACTTTCTGTGCAAACCAACGGTCACACTACCTACCTGACGACCTCTTGGGGCCCGGCCTGCATGGTGACAGGAGGGGATGAGATGGGCCACGGGGCCGGCCAGAGGCCCCGACACCATCAGGATGCCCGACTGGCTCGTGTGCGGACGCTACATCGCTCGGAGGAAGACTGCCAGGCTCGGTGGTTGGTTTGTTGTCTCAGCCATGGGGTGGAGAGGCAGCTGGTGTCGTGGGACGGATACACGTGCTGTGGTGCAGCAGCTCGATTGGCTCGCGCTTGGTGCCTTCAGCCTTGTGGACTGTCCTTCGTGTCAGTGGATTGGGCTGTGTTGGAGATGCGAAGATGGGGGGAGGTGCGAGTTGTGCCCAGTCAGAGTTTCACTTCCGCCTGTTTATGGACCTTGATGGTCTATTCCGCGTTGTTTCCAGCGACTTGCACGAGGAAGACAAGAGGGGGAGGCGGGGCATCACGTTTCCCCTTCTGCATCTCGACAGGAGGCAAAAGAAGGGCATGCTGGCACGACATTGTACACATCGTGCTGGCCGGAAGGCACGGCCATGTTAAAAAGAGCAGGCGACGGCGCTCACGCTGCTCATCGGTTCAGAAAAGTCACCTGTGATGCTCCCTTCTCATTGTTTGCTGACCTTTCCTCTTCCCTCCCTCACCCAAGTCAAGCCGCATCACTCAGCAGCAACATCCGAACGATTGGACGCCACTAGAACCCATCACTTCCCATTTCGGCCGCCAACTTAAAGCCATCCATCGAAGCGGCTGGCGGGCGGCGGGAGGATCACCCTTCAGGTTCAACTGAGTTTGTTAGGGTCTCCCACCACTATTCCCTTCACAGAAATAGGCAGCCGGGTTGTCCCCGAGAGCTGTGACTGTGACGTGGACCCTGGCTGTGTGTATGCTTCTCTTTTCACACACACACTCTCTCTCTCTTTCGCGACCACGGCACTCCAAGGTGGTCCCAGCATTTCCAGCTCTCTGGACCCCTGTCTGCCGCCTCGCCCAGCCCGGAAAGCCCTGGAAGAAAAAACGTGAAGTCACGGCCACGCTCAGAAACCAAGTCAGTCCCTGCCGGGGTCATTAATCCATACCGCGCCGCGCTCACGCTTCCATCTATTTTTCTACGGGGACAGGAAAGCTCGGGGAAGGGAAAATCATGACTTAATAGCCTTGAACCGGCCCCCCGTCATTGATTCTACACTACCACCTATTTTCCAAGCTCCCCGTCGCGCGACGGTTCACTCTGTTCATCCAACCTCATCACCACCACCCCAAAACGGCTGTCTGTCGTGCCCTGCATCAGAGCCACAGCATCATTGGACCAAGCCGACATAGCTACTGCGTCCTCAGCTCCCAGCAATGCGGTCTTTACCCGCAATAGTGGGCTTGCTGCCTCTGCATCTCGCCCTACTCCAGCAGTTCTTGTCTGGCGCCATTGCAACACCTGTCGCCAGCGGGCAGCAGATAGTAATTGGCCCTGAGGCTGTAGAGGCAGATACGGTCGCTCGAGGAGGGTCTCGCCGTTTACACGGAAAGTTTCTACACATTACAGGTATGTTTGAATGCTATCGGACGACACCCACAGCGACGGGGTCTGCATGACTGCAGCTGCGACGCTCAGGGACACTATGCGACTGCCACCTGTAGATTTGCAGAGAGATGGACAACAAACCAAGATGGCTAACAAACGCCCATCGTAGACTTTCACCCTGACCAATTTTACAAAACCCACTCCTCTACAGAAGAGGGCATCGCCTGCCACCGAGGCGATGGACCCGCCGGCTACTACGGCGCAGAAACGTCTGACTGCGATACGCCGTCCGCCCTCGTAAACGCCACTTTCGACTGGATCGCCGCGAATATCGCAGATGACATCGATTTCGTCATCTGGACCGGCGACTCTGCGCGTCACGACAGTGATGAGGACATCCCTCGTAGTCCTGCGCAGGTGCTCGGTACTAATCGGTGGATCGCCGATAAGTTCGCAGAGGCCTTCGGCGACCCAAAGGATTCCGTGCGCATGGCGGTTCCCGTGATCCCTACATTCGGAAACAACGACATCCTTCCGCACAACATCCTGCTGCCGGGGCCCAATAAGTGGCTGGGATACTATGCTGAGATCTGGAAGCGCTTCATCCCGGAGGAGCAACGCCACTCGTTCGAGTATGGTGGCTGGTTCTTCGTCGAGGTGATCCCTAAGAAGCTGGCAGTCTTCAGTCTCAACACGCTGTACTTTTTTGACCGAAACGCGGGTATCGATGACTGCCAGCAGCCCTCCGAGCCGGGTTTCAAGCAAATGGAATGGCTCCGCGTGCAACTGGAGTTCCTCCGTGAGCGCGGCATGAAGGCTATCCTCATGGGGCATGTGCCTCCTGCTCGGACGGACAGCAAGAAGAACTGGGACGAGACCTGCTGGCAAAAGTACAATCTTTGGATGCAACAGTACCGCGACGTTGTGGTAGGTTCGCTCTACGGACACATGAACATCGACCACTTCATTGTGCACGACACCAAGGAGATCAACATCAACGTCCTGGGCGGATACGCAGTCGACGATGATGTCGGACGTGAGGCATTCGAGGACGAGCTCGAGATTCAATCGGCACAGGATTACCTGACAGAGTTGCGACAAGGCTGGGCGAAGCTCCCGCCCGTTATCAAGGCGCTGGAGGAGGAAGATGCACTCGAGTCAGACGCACAGGGCAAGAAGGGCAACAAAGACAAGAAGAAGAAGAAGAAGAAGCCTGGAAAGGACCTAGGCGGCAAGTACGCGGAGCGATACCATTTGTCTTTTGTTGGCCCCAGTATCGTGCCCAACTACTTTCCTACGCTCCGGATCATGGAGTACAATATCTCCGGTCTGGAGGATGCGGTGGTGTGGTCAGACTCGTTCACAAACGCGGTACCGTCCCTGCCACTGCCGACCAACGACGACGACCCCGTCCACGAGGAGCTGAAGCGTGACATCGACGCCGCCCGGAAGAAGAAGAAGGGCAAGAAAGGGAAAAAGGGAAAGAAGCCAACAACGCCCAAGGATCCCAACCTCATCATCCCGCAGCCACCACCCGCGGGCACCGGCCCTGGCCCGGCCTATGCGCCTCAGCCCCTGACCTTCCTTGGATATACCCAGTACTTTGCAAACCTGACGTACCTCAACAACGACATGACGCGCGAGGCCAAGGACGTGTCCGGGGCCAAGTGGCGCGACGGCATTCACAAGGACAAGGATCCCAAGTCCCAGAAGCCGAAGCCGCACCCCTTCGCGTTCGAGGTTGAGTACAGCACCTTCACCGACAAAATCTACAAGCTGTCGGATCTGACGGTGCGGAGCTACGTCAAGCTGGCAAAGCGCATCGCCAGGGAGAATGCCAAGGGCAAGGCGTTTGTCGAAGACTTTGAAGAAGACGACGAAGAGGAAGATCCAGAAGACCAGAAAGACGCGATAGACCCAGAGGAGGAGAATGACGACGTAGACGAAGAAGACGACGTGGATGACATAGAAGCAGAGAAGATGAAGGGCGGCAAGAAAGGCAAGAAGGGCAAGAAGGGGAAGAAGAAGAAGAAGCACAACAAGGTTTGGCTGCATTTCCTCAAGCACGCGTTTGTCAGGACGGTGCCCCAGAAGAAGCTTAAGAAGTTTTAGGGCGTACATGGCCTAGAGGGCTTTGGGAGGGGATTGTTGCATTGTCAGACTCTGGCATTTGGGGGTTTTTCCCCCTGCATTTGTTGTCTTGTGTCGTTGCATTACTAAATGAAGAACCATCGGCGTTTGTGGGAAAGGGGCATGGGATCACAGGGTAGCGAAACTGATTGTCATTTTCTTATTTTCTTGGACATCCGGGTCGCTAGCAGACTTGGGCTTGGTGTAGCATTTGCAAATCACAAACTGCTTGTTTTTCGAGCCGTTTTCTCCTTTGGGGGGGTTCTTTTTGTGGCGGGCCAGGGCCAGGCATACATAGTCTGGCGAGCATCATGGAACAACATATCGATAGAGCGAAAATCATTTCTTTTGGCATTCACAACTTTTTGGTCTACCATGTACCCCAATCTGAACCATCTGCCGCGACTGTGTACGTCGAGAGCCGAACACCGGCCCACGATCCGAATCCCCCCCAGGCGTCTGTCGCAAGGCGATTCAGTCGCTGTCGCTCTCCTCCGCAGGGGAATCCGAGAAGCCGTTCCACTCCTCCTCGGACGCGGACTCGTCGCCGCCCTTGCTCTTGGACCCGCTCGCCTCGCCTCCCTCGTCGTCCTCGTCCTCAATGTCGAGCGCGCCCGAGATGTCCCAGCGGTCTCCCTTGGCCGCGCGGCCGACGTACTTGACGAACCGCAGCGTGCCGCTGTCGCGCAGCACGAGCGTCAGCTTGTTCCACGCGGCGGCCTGGAAGAAGAGGATGTTGTCGTCGTCGCCGCTCGACTTGTAGATGGCGGCGTCCTCGTCCTCGTCGGCGTCGTCGCCCGCCATGTACACCTCGTGTCCGCCGACCTCGAGCTCTTCCTCGGGTTCGGGCTCGGGCTCGGGCTCAGGCTTGGCCTTGGCCTTGGCTTTGCCCTTGCCCTTGTTGCGCTTCTTGCCCTTTCCGTTCGGCTTCTCTTCTTCCTCCTCGTCCTCCTCTTGCTCTTCGGGCTTCTCCTCGTCCTCGTCCTCGTCGCCCCAGCCCTTGGACGGCGTGATGCCGAGGTTGAACTCCAGACGCGGCTTGCCATCGTGGCCCGTCGCGAGGGTGTAGTCCTGGCCGCGCCGGAAGCGGCGCGCGAGGAACTCGTGGCCCTCGACGACGGTGCCCGTGGCGACCTGCAGCCACTCGCGGAACGGGCGCGACGGGAGGAGGTGGTCCAGCAGCTCCGTCAGCGGGTTCTCCTCCTGCGAGCTGCGCAGCTCGTCGGCGCCCGCGGGGTGCTGGTACAGGAAGCGGTGCTTGTGCGGCGGGCGCGCGACGCGCCACGCCGACTTCTTCTCGATGGCCGTGCTGTCCCTTGGGAGGGACGCCCGCTCCTGCGACTCGATGTACTCCCTCAGCCGGGCCGAGAACTTCTTGGACAGGATGTTGGAGAGCGTGATGCTCGAGTTCTCCTCAAAGTGCTCCGAGATCTGCTCGAGCGTGTCCGGGGTGAGGTACGTCGGCGCCATGTACTTCAACAGGAACTCGAGCCCGGCCTCGTCGAACCCTTCGAGGCTCGCCTTGGGCTTCTCGACCCGGACGGGCCTCGCGCGCGGGGTGTCGTGCTGGTCCGGGTTGCCCTGGAGCTGCATGAGCCCCGAGTTCTTAACCTGCTTCTCCTCGGCGCCCTTGACGTAGCCGTCCTCGCCGACCTGCGGGATGTGGAACCACCCGGAGATGGCCATGCGGATGCGCCCGCCCTCGCGCTCGAGCTGCTCCTTGGTCTCGGCGTGGTACACCTCCTCGACGTCGTGGAAGGACTCGCCCGGCTGCACGGCGAAGAAGGACAGCTGGTTCCACGCGGGCGGGATGACCTTGGTGTGGTCCGGCGCCGGCGTCTTGGCGATCTCGCCGTCCTTGCCCTCGCGCTCGTCGACGGGGAACAGCCGCAGGGCGCCGCCCCACTCGGGCTTCCACGGCGTGTCCGGGTCCGTGAGGTAGAGGATGTAGCTGACCTTGCGGCTTCCGATGACGTCGTCGTGGCAGAGGAGGTAGCAGCCCGGTGTGTAGACGTTGATGGCCATGTCGGTCTTGCGGCCGCTCAGGGGCCCGCAGCCGGTGATGTGGGAGACATAGTTGCGGAAAGTCTCGGAGTATATCGCGTCGCGTAGCGAGAGGAGCGAGGGCAGCTTGGCGAGGGCGTCGTCGTCGAGGCCGTCGAGGTTCGCGAGGTCGCCCGACTGGTGGATCTTGTAAATGTCCGTCTCCTTGGGGGTGAAGGAGACGTTCTCGCGGATCTCGTCGCGGACGGAGCGCAGGAGGCTGTCGTCGACGAGGCCGTTGATGACCGAGTGCTTGTACGGGCTCGAGGTGGCGTACTCTCGCGTGTACGAGTCGAGGACCTTCTTGTCGAAGAGGCCCTTGCGGAACCTCGACTTCGCGACGTCGGCCGAGAGGGCTGTTGACGTCGGTGTTAGTGGACGGGTAGCAAGCAGCATGGGGAGAGGAGCATGGAGAGGGCTGCTAACTCGTCTTGGACTTCTTCTTGGACGCCCTCTTGTCGTCAATTCGTGAATCGGCCTTGCGCTTCATCGTGGGCGGTTCAAGTGCAGTCTCTTGAGAGGAACCAGGCTTTCTGCGAAAAGGAAAAATTGTTTGGCCACCCCTAAGTTCATATCTGGGACGAGCAGCAGCTGTCTCTCTCGCTGATCGGGACGAACGTGGGCTGAGGTCCCACATAAATTTTTTCCCATGGCAGCTGTTTTCGCGGCAAATCGTCCCATGGGGGGCGTTGACCCCTGCAGTGCGCTCATTTAGCCTCCACGCTCGGCATGGGACGTCTACGTAGTCTCTCTCTTTTCTTAACGCCGCTGTCCAGCCCCCGACCGCCGGGTGTTCAACACCTCCAGTTTTTGGTCGTTCCTGTCAGAATGTGACCCATCCATTCCCAATTGGCAGCATGAAGCCAGTGGGATCCAAATTCGAACACCCTTTTCGGCTCTGAGACGTCTTCAGGGACTTGCATGACATATCAAGCGCCGGGTGCTTCACTACGCCGACGTAACCATTGCGAACCGCCAGCCTGACTGGCGAACAACCAATGTCGTTGTGTAGACGTCTGCGTCATGCAATATTTGCTTCAGGCGCTTGAGGTGGTATGTGCATCTGTTGAAGCAGTTGTGCCACTAAAACAGCATCTAGCTGGTTCTGTGCCAACTGCAGTCAGTGATTCGTTGGTCCGAGGGTTAAATTTGTATGGAATCACCAGCCGCTCTGCAGTCATTCAGTGCAGCGTGGCCGCGCCTAGCCCCGGTCCTAACAACGGTCCTCCCAGCGCCGCAGCGGACGCGGACCTTCGGACGAGCCGTCGCCAACCGCCGACCCCGCGCCCCACAGTCTCGTGCCCCTCCATCCCCGCCGCAAGAGCACTGCTGTCCCTCGCAGAACGTCATGCATCCATGAACGAATGGTGTCGGGATTTGCGGGTTTCCAGCACACTAGAACGCTGTTCTCCATCAGGCAGCTCGTTCAAATGAACCCAAATCCATCGCGTAATCTTGCATCTCGGCTTGCCCCGCTTCCAGAGTGAGGGTGTTATCGTGAACACCTCATCTCATTTTGTCTCTTCTCTACATCTCACATTATTCTTATCGGGATAGCTTCATTTAATCAAACCACTCACGATACCTTGCATCACCTTCCCGACGCCCCTATACCCTAGGTCTTACCAAACTGCAAAATCGACACGATGTCTGCTCAACTTGACATCGCGGCCGTGAGGGCCAAGTTCCCAGCTCTAGCTCAGGACCAAGTCTTTTTCGACAACGCAGGTGGAAGTCAGACCCTAGGCACGGTCATCGATTCGTACGTGTCTTCAGAATTGTAGTTGGGCACCAAAACCCTACTTACATTCTCCAGCATCCGGGACTATCTGTCACAGACCAACGTCCAGCTAGGCGCCTCATACAAAGTCGGCCAGCTGGCCACGGCCTCGTACGGCGAGGGCTACCAGGCCGGCGCAAAGTACATCAATGCGTCCCCTGATGAGATCGGTAGGGACTGCTTCAACGTCACACCTGGCCTAGGCACCCCACTGACATTAGCCCAGTCTTTGGTGCCTCGACGACCCAGCTTTTCCGCAACCTTTCCCATGCCCTCTCTTTTGACAAGGGCGACGAAATCATCGTCTCCGCAGTCGACCACGAAGCCAACATCGCCTCGTGGATCGATCTCGCCTCGCGCCAGGACCTCACCCTGAAATGGTGGAAGCCCGCCGACGCACCTAACCCGAAGCTCACCGTCGAGAACCTCAAGCCCCTGCTCTCGGAAAAGACCCGCCTCGTGACCCTCACCCACGCTAGCAACATCCTCGGCACGATCCACGACGTTGCTGCCGTCGCCGCCGCCGTCCACAAGGAGACGCCCAAGGGCCTTGTGTGCGTTGACGGCGTAGCCTACGCCCCGCATCGGCCCCTGGATGTCCAGGCCCTCGGCGTCGACTTCTACGCCTTCTCGTGGTACAAGGTCTACGGCCCGCACACGGCGATGCTGTACGCCAGCCGCGCCGCGCAGGACGGCCACATGCGCTCGCTTGGCCACTTCTTCAACCCGTCCGACTCGCTCGAGGGCAAGCTCGGGCTCGCTGGGGGCAGCTATGAGCTCGTCTCGGCCGTACCGCGGGTGCTGGAGTATCTCGGCACGCCCGATTCCGAGGGCTGGAAGGGCAAGATTGAGCAGGAGAGGCTTCTTCAGTCGACGCTGCTCGAGTACCTTAACGGCCGCGGCGACGTGACGGTGTACGGCGAGACGGACACCGGGACGGAGCGCCGCGTGCCGACCATCAGCTTCAGGGTGGAGGGGTGGGGGGCCAAGGAACTCGTCACGGCCGTGGAAAAGGAAACCGACTTTGGCTTCCGGTGGGGGCACTTCTACTCCTACCGCCTCGTCAAGGAAATTCTGGGCCTCGATCCCGCGGATGGGATTGTGAGGGTCAGCATGGTGCATTACAACAGCCGTAAGTTGAACAGGCCCCCTTCCGGACCTGCGAGTGACACTGACCATTTCCAGTCGATGAAATCAAGAGCTTTGTTGCAGCCTTGGACAAGGCGTTGCAACAAAAGAAGTAAGGTCGTGTAGATTTGTAACATTAGGATTAGAAAGACCAACAACTCCGGCTTGCTACTGGAAGGTTGCTGTCCGTCTGATATCTATATACGCTAAACATGAAATCATGGCTCCCATTGCTTTTCCCTTTATAGAAAAAAAACCGAAAAAATTAAACCGGCAACAACACAAGGAAAAATCATAAAACGTGGCCCTAAACAAGGTGTCGAAGGGATTCCCTTAGAGCTTGCCGTTCTTCTTCTCGACAGCTTCTCGCAGGATCGAGATGACTGCTGCGGGGTCCTGTGCACCAAAAACTGCGCTGCCAGCGACGATCACATTGGCGCCGGCGTCAGCGGCCTGGTGGACGGTGGATCCCGTCAGCCCCCCATCGACCTCGATGTTGAGCTCGGGGTACTTCTCGCGCAGGGCCTGGACCTTGGGTAGCTCCGAGGCCATGAACTTCTGTCCGCCGAAACCGGGCTCGACCGTCATGATGAGTACCATCTGTGGAGAGACCCCTGTCAGTCTAATGCGCGTCCGCGGAGACACCAGTTTTTTCTGTTGCCGTAATAGGGCCTCGCAAAATCAGGGTGTGTGGGATGGGGAAACACTCACGTCTGGCCTCTCGAGGGGATCTTCGCTCTCGAGAAGCTCCCACACCACGTCGACAGACGTCGCGGGCTTAAGCGCAACACCGGCCAGCATGCCTTGTTCGTGAATGAAACGGATCAGCGCGCGGGGGTTCGTCTTTTCGTCGGATTGGACCTCTGGGTTGTCGGAGTCGGAGGAGAAGGCAGCCTCGTAGTGGAAGCAGTACAGGTCTGCGCCGGCGTCCTTCATGCCTTTGACCCATTTCTTGGGCTGAATTGACCGCATGCGTCAGCCAGACTGTGTCTTTGTGCAGGGCAGCGCAATTGGGCATATGGCCGCCAAATTGTACATGCTAGAAGGGGGCGAGCATTCTTACCTCGGAAACCATCATGTGGCAGTCGAACGTGCCCTTGCCCCATGTCTCGATGGGCTTCTCAACATGACCCCTGATCTTGGCGACCACGCCGGGTCCCCACGAAATGTTGGGAACAAAGTGGCCATCCCTAAGAAATCAGGTCGGTTAGCTTCGCGTCTTTGGAAAAGTGCGAGCATCAGCTCCATGACCCGCTCCTCGCAGGAGAGAACTGGTCGCAAGATGTTCGTGTGCAGCGTTGTTGTGACAGGGTGTTCATACATAATGTCGACGTGAAGCCAATCAGCCCCTTGTTCAATGGTTTTGGAGCATGCATGGCCAAAGTGGCCAAAGTCGGCCGCGAGAATCGAGGGTGCTATGATCGCCTTGGGTGCCATTTTGTCGACCGCGAAAAAAGGCGAGAAAGTGGTTTGTGGTAAGGAGTAAAGAGTAAGGGAGGGGAAAAGAGAAGTGTGCGTGGGTGCGGGTTGTGTTGCGGGTGTGTCTGGGTTTTGTTCGTGGGCAGAGGCAACGGCCGCACCGCCCTTCGGAGTTTGCAAAAGGATTGGAGGGTACACGATCGGACATGCGCCCCCGGAAGCTGTGGTAAGCTATGGACCCTGAACCACGAGAGCTTTCTGTGGTGGAGTTTCTGTTGGGATCTTCCCACACTGGAGATTCTAGAATCACTAAGCACTGAGGGGTCGACGTTTGGGTGTGGGGTGGCGCGACCCCGCTGGGCACGTACCGCCCGTATGATAAGCTCCGGAGTACATGAATGCGCCGCGTGCATCCCTTATTTTAGGTACCTCCCTACAACGGTATAGCTCCACCTTTTCCATTGGGCTGGCAGAAATCAAGATATGGGGCCGACCCCTGACGTTAGCAGAATGTCATGATGGGCCACGGGCGATTATCCGCCGCCACGGATTTGCTCGTCAGATGGTCACATCTAGGCCGTAAGGCTCCGCCGCACATTACCTTGTCGGCCACATCGGAACACCCAGAGAAGCAGTCCACGATGTCTATCGTGGTGTTGAGCCTTGGCCCGGCGTCATAATGCCCTGCTAGAGTCACTGGGCCCAACTGTCATCCCGTCGCTTGTTCGGAGGAGTTTTTGTGGAATAGCTTAGATACACAACGATTTTTCGGCCGAGAGCCTCGGCCAACTAAACAACATGCAAGGGGGGAAAAGACTCCCGGTCCACTCTAAACTGCCTGAGTAATGCTGTTCCCCGTTTATACTTACATAGCAGCGCCTTGCAAGGCACCAATAGTCCTACTAGTCGCACGGAAACCGATTCAGTTGTCGAAGCTGTACTTCAACCAGCCGCCCAGTGCCTTCAGACTCTCCCATCGGACGTTCTCGTCGGATTCTCCCATTAGCTCCATGATTCTTGTCTTGAGCCCGAGCTTCTCCAGCTGGTATCTCTTCTCAGGCACCTCTTTGACCAACGCTCCAACGTCGTTGCAAGCGATAGCCAGGACCGCCTTGTCGTTCTCCCACGGCTTCTTCATAATTTCGGCCAATTTGCGCGTGATTGTTCCATTCTCGTACTCCAGGATCTTGCGCGCATTCTCGGCCCAGAACACCTGGCTTCTGTGAGGCGGTGACCAACGAAGGTGGCCAGACTCAACCTCGGCAACGTATTCGTCAAAAGTGGTCTTTGTCTTGGTGTACTCCTCAAGGAGCTCCTTCAGTTGCTGTGTGTCCTCGAGCAGGTCAGGGTCGGTGAGGTGGCGGCCGCTCAGATTCTCGAGGAGTGCGGGCAGCCTTGCAAGCACCGCTGTAGGGAGGAGTGACTTCTGGTTGTTGCTGAGTAAGTTAAAGAGCGTCGAAACAACCAATCGGGTCGTCTTCTCCTTCGGGGAAAGACGCAGGAGCTGGGTGTACAACAGCACAATGTCGTATTCGCTGCAAGACGGTTAGCTTTTGAAATATCCGCGACTGAACTTGGACGTACTCATTCAAATCGTCGCCAATTTCTTCGGCTTCAAAGCTCATTTGCCAAATGACCAGCAGAACATGGTACAACAACTGAAGGCCAACACCGCCGCCGAGCGAACCTTCAAAGCCAGGTGCTCTTGTGGGCGCAGTGCCACTCCATATGCTTGCCGAGGAGCTGCCGTTGCTTCCGATACCAGCCGCTGTTCTGAGGATCTCAATCAGAGGCGCAATCGTCTCACTCCTTTGGTTCCAGAACTGCTGTCTAGACGCATGTCCGTAGAGAATGGAGGAGTACTCCTGGACGGCAATGTCCTGAAGACCAGCATCGGAGCTCTTCGCAAGGCCGGACAAGTATGAAAGAAGTACAGGGATCGCGTTTTTGGTTGCCTGCGATTCGTCTCCTGCGAGCGACATGAGCTTGGTCAAAGCTGTCGAGGTGAGCAGAGGGATCGGGTCCTCGGTGTTGTTCGAGTGGGCGAGCAAAGGTAGGAAGTGTTTGTAGGGGTCGCTGTTCTTGAAGATGGCCTTGGAGAGTGACGGTACACCTATAGGTTGGAGATGGCGGCGTTAGTTGGTGGTTCTAAAACAATGGCTGACTTTGGCATTGATAGGTATCAACCGCCGAAACGTGAAGTGAAAGAAGTAGGGCGTATCACAACAATTGGCTACAGCGTAATAGGTTGGACTAGGAGAAAGGTACAGAACATACTGGGCAAAAGGTCGGCCAAAAGGACAAGAATGTACTGCACGATTTTGGCCTGCTTCCCCGCAGACTCGAGCACGGAGGGCTTTCCCGGTTCACCAACAAAGAGGGAGCGGTATCCATCGAGGTCTCCTTCTACAATTTCTTTCCTTGCCTCAGGCTTCTTCGCCTTGTCGACAGCGCGGATGCGGGCCAGATGGTCCTCGGTGATAGTGCCTGCTCTAACAGCGCCATCCCAGGGGATTGGCCGCTGGCGGATGTTGTCCTGCAGCGAGCCCAGGTAGGTGGGAGGATCGAGCGACATGGCGGGCGAGTCGGGGGAGGTAGCGACTCGGACGACTTCGAATAGAGATGGACCTGCGTCGCCGAGAGTCAAGCTGTTGAGGAAATGGATAGAGTGGATGGATTCGGCGTGCTGAGGGTCGCAGGTGGTTCGCGGCTGGAAGCTGTCTGACGAACGTAATGCTCTAAAGCCGCAGCCGCAGCCGCGCCCGCCCAGTTTTTGGGGCAGTTCCCTGCTTCAAGTCACTGCGTCAGGTTGACCGCACCTGATTGGCTTGGGATCCAATTCTACATCAGCCACAGGTAGAAGCTCTGCGTGCTCCACCACAGCTTCCCCACCACCAATGAGGACGACCCGGCCCCAACAAGGCGATTGTGCTGTTGCGGCGGTGCACTCAGACCATTTATCCTCCACTCGAACCTATTCATGAAGCTTGGCCCGCCGTCTCGCGCACACACACACCCCATTTCTCTCACACTCCAACCATCACAGCGACTCATTCTGCCCCGGCATCCAACCACCCGATTTTCTTCAGGGGCAGCTGTCAGTGGTGCTTAATTTTCCAGATCGAGCTGAAGCTGACGGCTGCTCCTTCGCTCTGCACGAACTACCCATGTTCCAAACTGGCTTGCTGGTCCACGCCATATGCAAGGCACTCGCGGATAGAGTCCCTTGAATCTTACAGAGGGCGTCGTTAGCCAGGGCTTCACCGTTATTTCGTGATGGGCCGCGGGTTCCTATCCCATCGGCGTGGCTCCCGTCGGTCGGTCACGTTAAAGTCGCGGAACCCACAGACTGACACCTGCAAATATCCCATCACGATCTGAGAAGTTTAGGCAATTGAAGCGCAAAAGCTGTCCTTGCGCTAGGAGCTTGCCCTATATGGGTCAAAGATCTTATTTGCTCTGTCCCTGTTGTGTTAGAGTTAAGACTACTCTTATGATGACAGGGTGGAAATGAGCATGATCTCATTGAGGAAGCGGCCAAGTGAGGGGCCAATGACTGCAATGCACAGAAATAGTAAAGGAAGCACACGGCGCCTGGTCACAAGGTAGGAAACCGGCCTAGGAAGGAAGGAGCTCGCTAGGTGCTTTGTTCGGCGCAACAAGCAAGAGGGTAATCAAGCAAGGCGGGTGTGTGTAACAGCAGACAGGGTCAACAAGCACTCTCCCATCTCTCTAGAGAGAGCGACGGAGTCCAATCCAAGGTCGAGCAGCCGGGCGGGACAGGCTTCCTCTGCCTATCGATTGTCGTCCAGTGGACGGACCGACCCCTGCAGGTAAACAAGTGGAAACGAGGCGCTCTGGGCCGGGCCAGTCATAGAAGCGACAGTGACCCGTTTCTGCCAGCTCACACAGGCATCTCCCCGCACTAGGCCACTTATAACCCTCTCTGTCTTCCGGGTGTCTCTGGTCTACGGGGAACCACCTCTCGGCGCCCGATCTTCAGGAACAAGACCAAAAACCGCAGCAACCGTGACGGAATCGCGCAATCAAGACAAATCTTCAGAAGCCTCTTGTCAGAGATTGGCCAGCAGACTAATCGGTGAAGCTAGACCCCTGCGAAACATTGCATTAATCAAGGGTAGTATTGTGGGCTTGTCTGTGTGGGTGCGGCTGTGCGTGTGTGGTGACAGCGGCACCAAAATCAAGAGGTTGGACCCGGACGAAGAGAGGAGGTTGGGAATCGACCCGCGAGAGGGAAGAAAAAAAAAAGATTCCCTCTCTGCCCAAACCAAGTAATACGACACTCCCACTCCGTCCGCGCCCTCTCTCTTAAACCACACTTACCTGCAGGTTTTCATTCTTTCTTCCGATTTCCTGGTTCTTCTCTCCCGCATCTACATCCAAGACCGTACAGCATTCCAACGATTCGGTCCCCGCCGATACGTCTACACACTAACAGGCTAGGTCGGCCAGCTCACTCACACTCATACGACTACCAATACCACCATCTCACCCTACTCTTTCCCGCCGACCATTAATGCCTCATTGTTCTCGTTACCACACACCATAGCATTCCTCTGTCTCTCACTCTCTCACTTGGGGCCGCTCTCGAAGCTACGAGACAAGTCATTCCACGACATCCCCATTGAGCTGACCAGACCGGCAAGCGTGGGCGAAAGCTCACTTACAATCGCCACGCCGTATTTTCGGCCTTCTTACATTCCTGGCTCGCGACAAACTCCCACAGCCTTCCGCTAAAATGACCCGCCGCAAGCACTCGGTTGCGGCCCCTCTGGTCGCCGGTCTCCTCCTGCTGGCGTCCACCCCCGCTCCGGTCTCCGCACACCCGTACCCTCTCCAAAATGTCGCCAACAACCTCTTCTATGAACTTGGCGACAAGTTCATGAAGCGCGACTGCGTTCAGCGTTGCGGTGCTGACTCTCAATACTGCTGTGGCTCTGGCGAACAGTGCTACACAGTCAACAATATCGCTGGCTGCAGCACCATCAACGGAGGCGGAGGCCATGGCATCTTCACCACCACGTGGACTGAGACGAACACCTTCACCAGCACGGTCACAACCGATTGGCCCGCAACAACAACGGCCGGAGGAGTAGGGGCTGGAGGCACCTGTGTCCCGCAGAATGAAGGAGAAACGGCCTGCGGCAGCATCTGCTGCGCCTCCTATCAGTACTGTGCCTACGCGGGGCAATGCGCTCAGCGAGACGGATGGGGCGGAGGCATTACTACCATTACCTCTGGAGGCGTCACAATCACAACACAATATTCCGCCCCATACCGGATCACCAGCACCAGAGCCACCGGCACCTTTGCATCAGCAACCGCGACCGGAACTGGAACTGTTGTGCCCGTCACCGATGAGGGTACCGGCGGAGGCTTGAGCGGCGGTGCCATCGCAGGTATTGTCATCGGCACGCTCGCTGGCCTTGGTCTACTCATGCTTCTGTGCTTCTGCTGCATCGCCCGCGGTCTCTGGGGCCTCATCTTTGGTGGCAAGAAGAAGAAGGAGCACAGCCACGAACGAGTCGAGGTCGTTGAAGAGAGATACTCACGTCACGGCAGCCGTATGCCCTCGGCCCACTCCCACCGTCCCTCGCACGGCGGCTGGTTTGCAGGAGGCGGCCGTCCTGCCCCGCGGCGCGCCGCAAAGAAGAGAAGAAGGAGGGCGCCAAGTGGTTGGGTCTGGGAGCCGCCGCGGCGACGATGCTGGCGCTCCTGAACCTTAAGAAGGACAAGCCGGCGCGCAAGCCGCGGTCGAGCTACACGGACTCGTACTACTCGTACACGGGAACAAGTCCCAGTGAGTCTTCATGGGATTCTCGGACTCGATCGGATCTGACGTCCTACCTAGGCAGCTCTAGCTCGGGTGGAAGAACTCACCGAACCGGCCAAACGCGCGGCACCCGCACGACGCACCACTCACGGAGGTAGCGAAGCATCTTTTTCGAGTTCTTGACCTCGATGAATTGCACATGTATTCGGCCGCCTTCTTTATAAGGCCCCGCCGATGCCCCGAACATGCTTCGAAACGTACATAACTTGGTATTATTGTCTCTTTTCTTTCTTTCTTTTGGCGTTACGGAGGTGGATCAATATGATTATGTCTCATGGGGTCCTGATGACTCGGAAGATGGGAATCAACATGGCACGAGACGACGAGGATTCGGCGACGAAGGGAGGATGAAAGATTGAACGAGGGAAACAAAAACTTTGGGTGGACAATGGCAAGAGGGGGCTGCCTGGTCGGAGACGACACGTCTCAGGGGGGAACCGGGCAGGGCGGAATATCTCTTTGGACATTGAGCGTTCCTTGCCTTTTCTTTGGCCTTGGCGTGGCTCTTTCTCAATTCCTCGCAACCATTGCACTCCACAACCCCAGCCACCCGCATAGCATGTACGATGTTCAGAATGATTTTGATGGCATAGACGAAATTTTTGATAGGCAGGCTTTTAGAAGCAGCTTCTTCATAGCCGCCTATAATGCATGGAATGTAACGATTTTTACCTGATGAAGTTAATTCTCTTCACAATTGTTGTCCAGGTGATGTTGACTCAAGCTTCGCCGTGTATGGTTCGCTGTGGGCAGACGCAAGGTTTTTCGGGAGGCCCGACGTTTCTGCTGCCCAAGTGTGTCGGGAGAACCAAAAGTTGAGATGAACATGCGGCGCTTGCGCGAAGCCGGTGCGGCGCAATCCGTTTGATGTTCGGCTTGTATGCATGGAAGGAATCAGGTTTCCTTGTGCTGCTGTCGGTGTTCGCAGCCGTGTGCACTCCCCGATTGATGGAAATGCGTCATGAGTATCAGCTTCGAGACGTATTTTGCGCTGCATGTCGAGGCCTTGGAACCAAGTACGCTCTGTTTGGGTATCTTCAAGCGGCCTTCTTTGTAGACATATCAAGGCCGTTCCGTATCACATTAACATTCAGCCGATGACGACGAGCGTCGGACAGAGATTCACAGTCCCCAAACAAGCAACGCTGTGGTAAGGCATTCATTGGGTCGATAGAGCAAATTTCCCAGCAGCAGTCCGCCAGCTTTAACCCTGCCTGTACAGACCCCTTCTGATCACACAATCACGCTGTTGAGTGAGGGAAGGGTCTTTGAACGGTTGCGTGGGTATCATTTCACCATGAAAAGTTTTCATGCAGGTAGTAGTTATCGTATAGTGTTAGGGGGTGACCGCTCGGGGAAAGGGAGCTGGCAACGTCTTTCTTGACTTGTTGATGTGATTCATACGGCAACCCTTGGGTTACACGATGCAAAAAAAAAAGGAACCCCGGCCACGCCTGTGTTAAGACCCAGAACCCAGTTGCTCTTTTTGCATAGTCCTCAGAAAAAACATGACCATTTGACTTTTTTTGGATTTCCCTGCTCCCCTCCTTGCCCAGCTTCATACATCAAGAATCCTCAATTTCTTGGGGTTCGGGATGCATTTAAACGTCCTCAACAATGTTGCCCTTCTCGGAGACGTACATGCCGTCCAAGAACTTACGGATATCCTTGTTGCGGACCTTGCAGATCTGCTGGATGTCGGCGGCGGACTGGGAGACGGCCTCAAGGGAGTTGCCGGAGAGGACGAGCTCATCCTTCTGGGTGGTAGAGACGGCAACGTCGACGCCCTCGCGCATGACGACGCGGCGGACAAGCTTCTCGCCGATGAAGTTGCTGGGGGAATGTTAGCTGCTTGTCATGGTTGGCGTCGTCAGAACCAAGGCAAAACATACCGGATCTCGACCTCCCACAGACCGGTCTCGGAGCTCTTGTCCAGGTTGACGTTGATGGGGAAATGGGCGTAGACGTAGCGCATCTTGTACTTGAAGCCCTTGGTGACACCGATGATCAGGTTGTTGATGAGGGTGCGGACGGTGCGGAGGGTGGCAACGTTCTTTCTTGAGCCGTGGTGGATCTCAATGTTGATGGTGCCCTTGACCGGCTGGGAGAAGTTGACAGCCAAGTGGGACAGGTCCTTCACGAGCTTGCCTGTTGACGATGTCAGCCATATGGGCTTTGAGAGTCTCTCACCACAGGGCGTTCTGCCCTTGGTGGCTAGGTGCAGCCAGTCACGGCCCCATGAGGGAGCGCGACCGGCTGGATAGGAGGAATGCTAACTTACCACGGGGGCCCTCGACAGTGACGACGCGGGACTTGATGTGAACCTTGACTGTTGGAGAATCCAAGTCAGCATGCATTCAATTGCCTGCCACTACTGCTCCTTTCGAGCTCATCCACAGTCTAAAACTTTTCAACCCAAAAACCCAAGTCGCGTTGTCCGCCTCGAGCGCTCGCTGATCCCCCCGCCTGCCTTAGTTCGCAACCTCAGACCGTGGTCGTCGGCGCAAACAAGGCAGAGGAGGCCGAGGCCCGAAGAGCGAATGGCGACAAGAGGTGATATAGTATCCCAAAGTTCAGAGTTCGGCGGAGCTCGCAGGGGGCCGCATCGTGATTGACGAGTGGGCGTGGGGGGTTTTTCGGTGTATTGTGTGCTTGATCGTTGCGCATCTTCCGAAGACGACGCCGACGACGACGGCTTTCTTTCACGTACCATCCTGAGGGACCGTCAGGCTCTCCTGGGAGTGAATGTACTTCATCTTGACGTCGGGGGGGAGGAGGGTTGTCGACTGGGCGATCTACTGGGCGACGGGTCTGTTTCGTTGGGCGATGGACAACTTTTTCTCAAAACCGAAAGACGAACTTTTCGAATCTCGCTCAGAGTTGCGATTGAGAGCCCAGCGGTGCGCCGAGTGATGGGGGTTTGCAAGCCCTTCGTGGTCCGTGCGTTGACTCTCGAAAGTGGCAGGCGGTGGGATAGGTTGCCAGAAGTCCATCTTTGGGCGGGACCGACTAGCCCAAGCCACACCTACCCTGCCACCAGCCACATGCTTGCCGGTTAACGGGTGCCTGGCTCACGTGTAGGCCGCCTCAACCAATGAGAGGTGTCATCCCCGACAGCTCCAATTGCCCGCCCACCTTGGTTGATAGCTGGCCCGGCGCAATCTAGCAAGCAGCGCAAGCCGAGTGCACGTACAGCGAGTGAGATACGTCAGCCACGAAGCTCTGCCAGACTACAACGTCCGATACCAATCGCTCTAATACACGCTCCCGTCACGAGCCTCGAACCCGCGATTGAACAGGCTCGCAACTGGAACGACGCCTATCCTTTCTCTCCGAACCGATACGAACACCTGTCGCGCGCGAGATCCGGGCTTCCCCGCATAGGCCAAGATGTCGTACTTCTTCTCCACCCCCGTCGACATCGACATCGTGCTGGAGGACGCCGATGAGCGGTCCATGGTGGACGTCAAGCTCGACAAGAACCGCCGCGAAAAGGCGCCGCTGTACATGGACGGCGAGAGCGTCAAGGGCGCCGTCACCATCAGACCCAAGGACGGCAAGCGGCTAGAGCACACGGGCATCAAGGTCCAGTTCATCGGCACGATAGGTAAGTCGTCGAACCACCACCGCCACCGCCACGACTACTAGGCGCGCAACTGAGCCGGACCCTCCTCGACGCTGACCACAATTTTCAGAAATGTTCTTCGACCGCGGAAACCACTACGAATTCCTCTCTCTCGTCCAGGAGCTCGCCGCCCCCGGCGAGTTGCAGCACCCGCAGACGTTCGACTTCAATTTCAAAAACGTCGAGAAGCAGTATGAGTCGTACAATGGCATCAACGTCAAGCTGCGCTATTTTGTTCGCGTCACCGTATCCCGCCGCATGGCCGACGTCATCCGCGAGAAGGACATCTGGGTCTACTCGTACCGCATACCCCCTGAGATGAACTCGTCCATCAAGATGGACGTCGGTATCGAGGATTGCCTGCACATCGAGTTCGAATACTCCAAATCAAAGTACCACCTCAAGGACGTCATCGTCGGCCGCATATACTTTCTGCTGGTCCGCCTCAAGATTAAGCACATGGAGCTGTCCATCATCCGGAGAGAGACGACGGGCGCCGCGCCGAATCAGTACAACGAGAGCGAGACGCTGGTGCGGTTCGAGGTATGTTCTCCAGCTGGACCCCCCCACCCCCGGGATGCGCTTGATGCTGACCATTCGTGCAGATCATGGACGGCTCGCCTTCGAGAGGAGAGACCATCCCCATCCGACTCTTCCTCGGCGGCTTCGACCTGACCCCGACGTTCCGGGATGTGAACAAGAAGTTTTCTACCCGGTACTACCTCAGTCTGGTGCTCATCGACGAAGGTCAGGAACCCCCGGACGCTACTCATTTCAATGTTCTCAGACCATGCTAACAAACGACATGGTAGACGCACGGCGGTATTTCAAGCAGTCGGAAATCATCCTCTACCGCCAAGCCCCGGACGCGGCCGCCGGTCCCAACATGATCATGGCCGCTGCCCCAGAGAACCCCAAGCTCATGGGCCCCTCTCCCGTTCAGGCATAGAGACCTCTGAAAGTGGACGACGTGGTTTACAAGTAATGCGTTGCTGATGATGATGCAGGGGGGTTGTGGGAGCTGTCATGATAGGTAGTCTTCGTCTAGTCGGTCACGCGCAGTTTTAGCATAAAGGTCACGGCGTTTTGGGGTAAAGACAGAGCTGGGTCTGCTGCACTGATACGAAAAAATATGAAATTTATTCTTCCCTTCCACCGCGAAAAAAAAAATCAAATTCCTAGCAAACAAAAGCCAAAGCCCAATCCATGCAATTCGTGAGGTATCTGGTGTCCAGGATCATTCTTTGTGACCGGGATCGTTCTTGGTTACTTGTACAGCTCTTTCCTTTTTATTCTTATTTGTGACCTTGTCTTGCTCATTCATGCTTCTACAAAATGTCCATAGCGTCATCCGCCTCGAAGCCGAACTGGTTGTTCTGGATGGCGGCGATCCTGTCCAGCTCGTCCTGATACTGCTTTCGCAAGTCGGGCAGTGTGACAACCTTGCGCTTGCCTTGAAAGTTCGTCGTCTCCCTCGAATTGGGAGGCGGCAGCTCTTCCGAAAAGATCCACGCCTGCTTGGGATCGACGCAGCTCAGGGCGTTGATAAGCAGCAGGTACTGCTTTGTCACGGCCGTGTCGAGAATGTCTTCGCCGATGAGCTTGTCGCCCTCGCCGGCGTGCTGCAGTTTCTGGATGCGGTCGAGCAGCACGGTGGCGGCGCCGCGGTAATCGTTGTGTTTTATCCTCCACGAATAGAGGATCTGGTGGTATGGGATGCCGCTGAGGACATCCATTGTTGTCTTGCACCTCTGGGATAGGATCTCGTCAATCGAGTCTTGCAGGCCGGGGAACGGCAGCGACATGAGCTCGCTGTTGTGGTAGGATTCACACATCTTGTCCACCAGCTTGCGGAGGGACGAGAGCTGCATCGCCTTGTCCTTCATGGCCAGGAGGCTTGCGTGGGCAACGTCGAAGCGTGAGAGCACGGTGGCTGCGTTGAACTGGCGGCTGAGCATCTCACTCCTGACCAGCGCAGCTTCGGGGCTGGCGTGCGAATATTGGATGGCAAGGCCAGCAAACTCGATGACAAAAGAGTAGGCCTTGGCTTTCTCGAATAGAGCAACGATGTGGCAGTGATACCGAGCCGGTCCCTTGTTGAGCAGGTTCCATTCGGTATCATCTAGGAGACCGCTGCTGTGTCGGTCGACATCAACATCCTTCACACCTGCATTTCACGTCAGCAAGGATCGAAGCTGCAGGAAAGGATTAACATACTCATGCCAATTGCCGCTTTGCGGAAATGGAAGGCGGCTTGGGCAAAGTCCTTCAGAGCAAGGAAGACGCGGCCCTGGATGTAGATGGCGAAAGGCGTCTGGGTGCAGTAAGGCGTGAGCTCCAGAGCAAGGTCGGCCCGCTCTCTCCTAATCAGAGAACACTGGATAAGAGTGGGCGACACCTCGATGTCGCTGTTGGAGGCACAGAGATCCGTGACAATATCCGTAATGCTCGTCGCGAGAGGCTCATTTCGATTGTCGCCGAAACCGAGAAGGTGACCCACATTGCCTTCCAGTGCAGTAACCGTCTGAGTCTCGTCGCTCGATCGCTTGGAGGCACTTGGCGAACCAGAGAATGAACCGCTGCGCTCGTTCTTGTTGCCGATAGGAACAGTGATCTCGGTCTTGGAGAGCCATCGGAGCAGTTCTAACCGGCGGAGTGATTCAAGGAATTGTCTGAATACCGCGCCAACGTCGAGCCGCTTGGAAAGCATGTCTTCTTCATGCTCCCAGTCGAACTCCATGTGCACCAACAACAAAATCTGACTGAAGATGACAGTCCATTGCAGGTCAATCGTCTCCTGGACAGCCTTGACGATCAGCTTTCTTCCAAAGTCTGTCAGAGGTTGGCGGGCTTTGCGGCCGCCAGAGTCGTCTGTAGCCGCAATTAAGCCAGATAGGCTCTCGTATAGATCCATTGTGACGCCAATGTAGTTCTGTCCCAGACTCTCGATGACCTGGGCGCAGTCTTCTTCGCTCACGGTGCGCCACAGGGCGGTGGTATCGAACAGATATTGGATTCTCTCGTAATCCGTCCTTGGCGTCTCCTCAAAGATCTCGGGTCGCAGTGCAGCCGTGCAAACCTGTTGGATGCTGTCGGAGATTGCATCGAGGAAGCCAACTCCTGTAGCCACAAGGCTCGCCACCTTTTGTGTCCCCTCGTCCGGCCGCGATAGGTTGTAGTACAACCGCTCTAGTGCGCTACATTCTCTGATGGCGGAGATGGCATCGGCACAAACAACCCACGTCATATCGGAGTCTGCGTCAAGGATCAGCGCAACCGCTTCACCACGCTGCTTGTCCAACTCGATAAGAAGGCGATAGAATCTCCGCCATTGGGTCTCGCTGCTGGCTCGGAACTGCTCGTAATCCATTCCACCAGCCGAGTTTCGATCCAAAGACGCTGTTGAGGCGAGTATGGAACAGATGGACTCTGCCAGGCCTTTCTGGCTCTTTGAGGTGCTGCCCTCCTTCTGAGAGTAAAGCCCCTTTTCGTAGATAGACAGAGCTGTTTCAAGGGTCGCCTTGGTGAAGCGCCCAGGCGCGAGGATGAGTTCCAACCACTTTTCGGTTGGGTCCGTCGGGTCAGATGGCCCGGAAGTTGGTGCTGTTGGGTAGGTTGTATCAATGTGAACCGACGCCCATTCGCTTTCCCAGGACTCGGTGATACTGTCCCTGTTGAGATCGAGCTCCTGAACCCTGTACGTCATGTTGTTCTTCCACAGCGTCCACAACTGAATCCCACCATCGGCCAAATTTGAGAGTACAAAGTCTGCCAAGGTCCACACATCTGATAGAGAAGGTGACGACGGAACAAGCGTTGTGTCAGGGAAGGCATCTTCCACGTAGACGGTGTCACTATCGCGGGCCTTGATGTTCCAGAACTTGAACTCTCCCGCTCCGATGGGCGAGTATGTTGCACACATTCGGCTGCCTGTGCCGTCGCCAACCAGCTGCAGAAGATTTGCTTGCGTCGGCTCGATCTGCCACTTGCCGACCTCCTGGGGGTTGCGGTCGGCGTTGAGAATGTCTCCAGTGAACAGAATCTGGCCGGTCCGCAGGTTCCAGATCCGCATGCGGTGGTCGAGACAGACTGTGAAGAGGAAGGTCGCATCATCCAGGCCGAGATCCGTCACCTGTATCGACGTCGCAGCGCTTGCATCCATGTGGATGTTGCGGTATCGGATGGTGTGGTTCTGTTTGAAGGGAAGGTAGCTGCGAATGCCCTGAGCCCAGCCTTGCGAGTTGTAGATCGTCTCTTTCCAAGGGTTGCTTGTTGCTTTGGTGTGTTAGTTACGAGCACGACTACATCGGGAAACAATGACCTACAATCCTGGGTCTTATTCCGGTCCAATCGCACGAGGCCACCATCGTGTAGAGAAATAACAACCTGGTCGGTGCTCGCAGCGACCATGCGGTGCGGGTGCTTGAAACCGAAAACCTTTGGCTGGTAGACCTTGCAAGCATCACCCGGGCCGGCCTCGATTGCGGAGCGCTTCCTGAAGAAGTCGGGTCGCAGGGTGAAGGAGTATAGAAAGTTGGACTCGTCGAGAACGAACATGGATAGCGCATCGTGTTCCCGGGGATCAGCGAACGCTACGCACGACGGCTGGATCGGCACGGTGAATCGAAAGTTAAGGACGAGAGGCGCATCAACGACCTTCTCTTGGCGGCAGGTATCAACAACGCGGAGGCTCAGGACCAGGCCATCCTCCAGTAACCTCCACAGAAAACTGCGCGGTGCATCGTGCCATTTGCGGTGGTAGACGGACGAAGCAGGCGCCAAGTTCTTCAGCCGGAAGGCAACCTCATCTTCGCTGACGTTCTTGTCGCCGTTCGTGAGCTTGCGGGTCGCGCCCCTGCCGTTCGACGTCAGCGAGGGGACGCGGATGTTGACGATGGACGAGGCGGAGGCCGGTTCGAGATTGAGACGAGTCTCTCGGTAGAGGTATTGGGTGTCTGCGGAATCCATGTTGGTTGCACCCCCTAGCCTGTAAAGACCTCTAACGCCGTCGAAGAAAGGGAAGAGGCCGCAGAAATCGCGGGTCGGGCTCGGCGCATTAAGCAATCGTGCGACAGCAAAAGTTCGTCGCGATTCGAGTTGATGGAATTTCCAGTTTGAAGGCTCCAACGCGCTGGTGGGGCTAATCCCAATACAGCAACCAGCTTGGTACAGTGTCGTCGGACAGTGCTGCTGTCTGTGCACGGTACATGTGTTGACGCAGGAACAACAGTGGCCGGAAACCATTCAGTCACCAAAATTCTGGGCATTGTGTTGACGGGTAAAATTGATTGATTTGTTTCGTTTGAAGCTCATAATCTTTTCTAGCAAATGCTCAGGACCTGATTTGCTCCAGTTGAAGCAGAAATACCACGACTCCCCCGTAAAAGAATCTGCCGTCCAACGCCAGCACCAATGCATGCCATCTTTCCCAACCAGGGCGTATCAAAGCTCACTCATATGCGCATAACACCATTACCGCCGCTCGCATTCAGTCACGTATCAGTACACGTCGCCTAATCCTTCTCCAAGTCCTTGGGACTGGGGTCGCCAATGCCGTCCTCGTTGATCGCGAACAGACAGTCACTCTCGGGCAAGCAGGGACTGTCATAAATCTTGGCGACACGGGTCTCGCCACGACCCTTTCTCAAGCTGATTCTCGTCGTACTGGCGTGGGCAATAATGTTGCCGCCGATTGGCTTCTTCGGGTCGGGGTTGAACATGGCACTAGGTCCGCCATCAACCTGCGCAACGACCTGATTCGTAATGACGACAGCAATGCCAAACTCGTCAGCGAGACGTTGAAGCGTGCGCATAAACTTGGCAAGATGGGTCTGTCGCGAAGACAGTTCACCTCTGCCCAAGAAGTCGGTTCTGTAGAGTGCGGTGGCACTATCGACAATGAGGAGGGAGAACCGCGTCTCGCACATCATGGCACCAGCCTGCTGTAGGAGCTGGAGTTGATGGTCCGAGTTGTACGCACGCGCGTAAGCCACATTATCCAGAACTTCCTCTCCAGAAAGACCGAATCGGTTGGCGACGGCGAGCAACCGGACAGGCCGGAATGTGCCCTCGGTGTCAATGTACAAGCACTTACCCTCGCCACCGCCCATGTCGAAGGGCAACTGGCACGTCACCGCAAGCGTGTGGCAGATCTGACTCTTTCCCGTACGGAACTCTCCGAAGAGCTCAGTCACCGACCCGGTCTCGATACCACCGGCGAGAAGGGTGTCGAGCTGCTTCGAGCCCGTTGTGATGGAGATGAGCTCACTGCGTCGTTGATGCATCTCTGTGGCAGTCGTGAACCCCATTGGCACGAGTTTCGAGGCTACATGATGGGTCAGGCAATTTCTTTCGTGTAAGGATTCCCAGGCTTACCTTCGGCGAGGATCTTGGTGGCCTTCTGTTCGGAAATGCCCTTGATCTGTTCGAGCATTCGGCGCGGGGTGTACGCGACCGACTCTACCGTGTTGAAGCCTCCATCGACCACCATTTGGATATCACGCTTCGTAAGACCTGCAACTCCCTATCCACGACACCAAATCAGCGTCGTTCGCGTTGAGAGCGGATTCGCGGGGACATACCTCAAGTGCAGAGAGTGGCGTTGGCGCGCCAGGCCCGGTCATGCCGCCCTCGTCGCCATTGTGACTCTCCTCGTAGCCGTCCGGTTCAGCCATGGTGCCTTGAGAGGTGGATATTGTTTCACTGGCTGATTTTAGGCGTAGAGAAGACTGCGAGCCGTCAAAAGTCGGGTTGTGCGAGCTACGGGGGAAATGTTGATGGAGGAGGCGAGCGGGCTCTTAAGACGCGTCAGGCAGGACCGTGGGTGGCGATGGGCGGAGGAGAAAACACGCCAAGTCACGTGCTGCAATTAAGAAGCCTGCTCGCCCCGCCGTGTGCCTGGAGTTAGCGTCCCGCTAGGACCCTCGGCTTCTGTATGCGACGATAGGTTCCCGATCTTCTGCCTGCCACGCTTATGCGTGTGATGTGCCAGGCCGAACTCTCCATGCTGGCTTGTGCAAATTCACAGCTTTCGTGGTGGACAATCCATTTCTTTCCAGAGGTTTTGGGGCTTTCCTACGTTGTTTTGGTGTACTTGGCTTCATTTTTTCCACTGCCTCCTCCCAGCTCACCGGGCCGGGGCAGGTTTGTAAGCTCAGGCCAATGCTCAGTTTCCGACTGACAAAGCACTTTAAGCTCAAGATCGGCTCATTACGTTGTCTATATCTTGAGCTTCCTTCCGGTAAGGAAGGACCAACCTGTTCATCATGGCAGCATCGTCTGTTATTAGTGTATCACGTTTTACACGAGAGAGAACCAATTGTAGTTTGTAAAATATTTGATTAATTGCGAGCTACAAAGCCAGAAGAGAACTGGGATCCCCTCAAAGCTATCATTAACAACTCGGCATCGCGATGCGAAAGTAAAACCCGAAAACACCTAGCCATGCAAGAATCCGATTTGTCAAATGCTGTTTCCTCCTCGAAGCGCAAATCCCTAACGTCGTCAAATCCCTCGTCGAATGTTGCTACAGTTGATCATGTTGCGGCGGTCATGATATTATCGTTATGTGTGGTGTGAGTCGCATCATCCACTTTAGTTGACCTGGATGCGGCGGGTCTCGTGCTTGGGCGCCTTGGGGACGCGGATCGAGAGGATGCCGTCCTTGAAGTTGGCCGAGACGGAGTCCTGCGAGATTTGGCCGGGGAAGTTGAAGACGCGGCTGAACTCGCCGACGCTGCGCTCCGAGACCCAGTACTTGGCGTTGTCAACGGGCTCCTTCTTGCCGGAGGCGGACTTGTCCGTCTCGGAGACGGTCTTGGAGTTGTTGGTGTCGTTTTCCTTCTCGTCCTCGACGGTGGGCTGGTGAGAGGCAGAGCGCTTCTCGTTGCCATCGGTGATGGCGCCGCTCATCTCGGCACCGTTGCCCTGGATGAGTCCAGCAGGCGGGGTGCCGGCGGTGTACGTCCTCTCGACGCGGCCGCGGATGTGGAGAGTGTGAGGGTCGGTGAACTCGATCGACACATCGTTCTTGTTCATGCCAGGGAGCTCGCCGTGCAGCTCATAGGCGTCCTCGACCTCGCGGACGTCAAACTTTGGCTGGAAGGTCGGGACGTGGTTGCGGTGGGTGCCGCGGGCGCCGCCGTTGCCGTTGGCGCCGCCGGTGCGGGAGTAGTTGTCAAAGTCCTCGAGGAGGCGGAAGAGAGGAGTGAAGGAGGCGTCGGAGGGGGTGTTGTAGAAGTTACGGGGGAAGAACGCCATTTTGATAATGTTGTTGTTTGGAATGTGGAAGTGTGTAAGTGGTTGTATCGTGACTTGTTTGCGAGCGAAGAAGTTCGCGAAGAATGTTGCGATGGAGTGTTGAGTTTTGTAGAGTTGTTTGCTTGTTATTTGTTCTTGTTTGATCTGATCTGGTGAGAAGAAATCCAACCCGATGAACGGGGTTCAAGACGGTCGATTTATACACTTGAGGCCGGCACTGCCGTGCCTTCCCCAGAGTTCGGGAACCATCGCCGATGGATCCAAGAGTATGGTGCGAGGTGCTTCGAGAAACAACTCGGACGTTACGGAAGGAACGCGGACGCACCGGGGATTGCTTCTAGAGAGATCCGTGTAAGCAGATGCCTGGTGGTGATGTCCTCACGATGCTTCCAGGAGATTCGGTACTTGGAAATCACTGGATGCTTCCAGCACCTTCTACGGTTACGCCACCAGTAACAGCGGTCACTCACCAACACAAACCACACATGGTTGCAAGAAACTTTTCGATGCTCAACTTTGACTCCATTACATCAGATCACTGACAGAATTCACAAATCGCATCATGCCGACATCACCATGGCATCTCATGACATGACCTTCGAACGCTGTCGAAGAGCTTCACGTTGCCGAAGCCTTTCGGACGGGTACGTTCCCCTTCCATTCTCTTTCGCTTAATTTTTAGAGTTTCGGCCTCTGACCGGGATAGAGATGGGTCCCGCAACCGCTGCAAAGACGCAATTCTCGCGCCCAGCCAATCAACCTCCGTCCCTTGACGTCAAACAGATGGTCAATGTCGGGGAGCCCCCGCACCCGCCCCCCTAGCTTGGCTGGCTTTCGAGAGTTCTGGCCATCCAGTGTCCAGGCCCCCCCTCGAAACCAAATGGCCAGGTCCAGATGCTTCCATTTCAGCATTCGCGGCCCCCTTCCCTCGGTTGGCCTCCTCATAGGGTACGGAGTGTTCCGTTTCGGTCTTGACCTTATCTCCCAAGAGCTTGTCAGGACCTTTTGTCAATGTGTTCACGATATCTTTGCCTCATGCACGAAGCCGTTTCAAGAAAAGAAGGGGGCTGAAGAAGCGCCTAGCCTACGATGGCCCGAGTCAAGCATAACCCAGATCTACTTACATGGCGTACCACCGTCGGCCTCAAGGTTTCGCTTTGAGGAGGTGGGGAGCGGAAACAGGCTCGCTTCGATGCCTCCGGCGCGAGAGCAGCCATGCCGACGAAGTGGGAGAATCGAATCCCCATGAAGTCGTCGAGGAGTCTCTGGCACCCCAGCCCCTCGGAAACGGAATAGGATGGAGCCCTTGGCCAGAAAACACGCTCAGCAAACCCTTGTATGCAGTGTAACGGTACGACCCTACTCTCGTCTTCGCCCGTAGGAGTGCGCTGCTTTTCCAGTCAATATTAGTTTGCAGACGGTCACCCGTTGCGCCCCTCGCTGTAGTATTCTCATACTCGAAGATGGCATTTTGTATGCGTTGACAACATCAGGCAGGCAAATCGGCAATCGAACGGCACCGTGGCCGCGGGTAAAGCGTGCGCCGTATTGCCCTGTCAATTAAGGTTCAAAGCTGCAGTCCAGCTGTGATCCCGACACTCGTCCGGGTTCATCCCGTCCAGGGTCAAGCCACAGTTGTGGATGTCGCCACCGCGGAAGTGCCACAGTTGATCGACGACATGTCTTGGAATCACGTTGCGAAAGGTAACTTATCCAACTTTTTTCTTTTCTTTGGAAAGCGTATTCGCTCAAATCACCAGATCATGACTCAGGTCGCCAGGAAAGTCCGGAGCCGGCAGGAAACCTGCCCAACCGATTGATCTTGTCACACATTTCATTGGTAGTTATCGGTTCGCTCAGGCAACTACAGTTTCTCCTCAACTCCAAGCCATATATAGTATACACGGAACTCTCTCGCAGAATTAGGTAGTCAGATTAGGTACAATGAGAACCAGTGTCCAGGAAGCCATACATAGCAGCAATCGCCATGGCCTGCATGCGCCCATTGTTGTAGTAACATTGCCAACTCTTCATCAACCGTTATAGAGTCCGGATCCAAATAAACCTGATAACTAGAAGAAATGCTTCAGGATCATCATGTCGTCCGCCTAAAGTTCTTGGCGCTATTCGGCTTATTGCTGGTATTGTGGTCTCATGGGTGGATAGCCTGCAACCATAGCCATACCAGGTCGCATAGCCGCCGGCACAGATCCGGGACCGGGACTCTGCACTCTGTTAAAGAGTCCAATCAACCTCCGGCCGACCGATGGCTCCAGCTCCGTACCATCTCTTGCGATTTTGACTTCCCGGTTTGAGTTCCACGGGTTGCGCAACCCTCTGGTCCGATAGAACGGCAGGCGTGCGGTCGACAACCATTCGAGCTTGAATGGCTTGCCCCAAGCCTTCGTAGTGCCGTCGACTTCCTGATTCCCGCTCTTCCTGCTGCTCGCATCGCTCTGGTCCACGTCTTGTTCCTCCTCTTCATCCCCGCTGTCTCCGTCCTCTCGTTCTGCTTCCCAAAAAATAGTTCCCCTGGCCGAATCATCAATAATCCTGCCCTTGGGTGCAAACTCGGTGGGTTCGGTTGGTATCGCTTTGGGCAAATCAACATCGTTCGCGGACTGTGCCTTGGGAGCAAACTCGATCGCAGCCGCAGGATCTTCGTTTATCTGGGAGGTCATTCTCGCGTATCCAAAGTATTCGCCCGATTTGTTCGCAGAAAAGACAAGGTATACGCTGTCAACAGCCTAACCTGGTTAGCTGATGCTGAAATTAGAATGTATGGCACACTTACGTTGAAAGCAGCATTGAGGGTTTCCTCGTTGTGTGACTGGGTTGCCCAGATGCCTGTTCTGACACTAAGCTCCAAATCCTCAACAGTCAAGCTCTTCAAGATGAAGAACTTGTCCTTCTGAGGTGTCGTCTCGACGCCGGCGGCGACTGGTTTGACTTCGTTCGTTTCAGACACTGCGTCTTCTGTCGGGTTCTCCGTAGTTGCCGGCTGCGTCGTGGCGTCGTGAGGGGTTTGCGACCCGGAAGATGCTGCTGGGCCGGTGGGTGCCGTAACACCTGTTGCACCTTCAACAGTGCTCTTGCGCAGGCGACTGACTAGCCGTACGGACTGGAACTTGGAGTCGTGCAGTTTTTGCTGAGCCGTCACGCAGGTATGTTCGTCTTTGAAGTTTGCGAATGCGCAATTGCTCTTCGATATCAAGAATAGGGATTCGAGGCCGCTCGCTTCTTTGCACACGTGGTGAACCAAATGCATCAAGTCTGTCTGGGGTGGGAGGTTTCCGATCCAAATCGCATGGCCTAAATCTGTCAGCAATTTGCGTCCAAAGAAGATACGATTTGCTTACCGCTTTGGCGCGGCTTTCGCGGCGGGCCTCGAACAATACCAGACCGGCCATCACCCATGTCTATATTTTTAAGTCAGCAAAAACTTCTCGCCTTGAGGTTTTCAAATACAACTAACCGCTAGACTTGTGGCTTGGAGGAACATGTGCGCCATTGTGATCAATCCCGTTCGGAATCTGGGGTATGACTCTCGGGTCGCTATGTATCGCACTTCCTCCCATGTACTGCGCGGAGACCATTGAGTTTTGGAGAGCTTGGTTCTGAGAATAGTGGCTGGGCGGAGGATAGTAGTATCCTTGGGCAACATGGCTGCTCTGCGGATGGTTCATAATCATCTGGTTCGGGTAATACCCCATGTTCGGTCGAGCTTGTTGCTGGGTCGGGGAGAGCTGATTGGCATAATAGTGCTGCATCTGGGGGTGATGTGGCATGTAGTAGTGTGGGTTTCCCATGGGCATCGCCGCTTGGCCCGGATACTGAGGAGCCATCTGTGGCATCTGAGGCATCATCGATGGCGAGGATGTTGCGGGGCTGAATCGTTGCTGTTGATGCTGCTGTTGGCCTCCAGGCGCATAGGGATTGTGCCTCATTGCAGCCTGTGGCAGCGCATTCGCCATGCCGTTCATGTTGAAGGCGCCGGAGCGTCCAGTTGCGGGTTGCTGTGCCATGTCGAGTTGGGAAGAGAAGGCATGCTGTGGGGGCCCGTACTGCTGGTGCTGCGGGAGGGGGATGCCTTGAGCCTCCATCGTTGGTTTCTCGTCAAGGTAAAGCGGTGATACACCTACAGTGTTCAAGCCTTGGTGAGGATCCACGATAGGATACTCAGAGGCGTTGGAAGGGGGCTGAACATCTCCCATTGGTAAGGTGATTGCGCGACCTTGAGTCGGAGTTTATGCCGCCCACAAACTGTCGAGACCGAGTTAGCAAAATCTCCCAAACCAGTGACCAAGACCAACGGCGCCAGAAACGGGTCCGTCTGGTAGTTTATACCTTCGGTAAAGCACTAGTCCAAGCCTCCGGAGTTCTTAGATGACAACCTCTGGCGGAGCAAGCCTGAACAGCAAGGGAATGACGGATGAAATATGACGGGTGTGTGATTCTGAGCGCCACAGAGAGATTGAGCTATTTGCGGTAGAGGAGCGACTGCCCACGTTGTGGCCAATGTGGCTAGTTTGCACAGCCTTTGAAGGAAAGGGGAGGGGTTCCTCTGGTAAGTCACACCACCGAGCGTCCCAGGGTATATGTGGCAGTTAACCCTGCTCTGGTGAAGAGCGTGTAATGTGTGGCTCAATGAAATTCCTAGAAGGCGATCAGCTCGTCTGGGCGTCCAATACAAATGCAGAGAAGAGCCCGAAGCAGGGGGCACGGCATAGCCTTTGGTACCGGGGTATAGGGGGAGCTGCCGAACAGAGCGGGACGAAGAGACGAGACGCGAGGGGCCAGATTAGGGAACTCCAGGCATGCATATCGTGTGGAGAGGTGCGGCTTCAGTGAGGTGCAGTTGCCACTAAACGAGGGCTGTCTCTTACCTGAACTTCGGGGCTCCGAGGCAGGGGTTGCTGCTCTAGGCTGCCGAAGAGGAGTGGAAGATCCAGACTTTGCGAAACCCGGCTCCGACGCAGTGAGAACGAATGTAAGAGGATAGGCTCTGAAGAAAGATGACTGATGTTGCGCGCTGGTCTGAAGTACGCTCAAAGCGGATGGCCACCTTGGGGGGTAAAGGAACGAAAGCAATGCCAAAGCAGACCGAGTGATGAAGCTCTGCCGATTGAGTGACAAAGTTAGCGTAAGCGAGGGTTCAGCGAGAGGGTCTTGATATGATCGCGTTAGATCTGCTGCCGCTGCTGCGTGTTTGAATGACGGAGGCGACACAAATGGCTTGCTTGATCTTCAAACATCCAATGATATTTATGGACGAGGAAGGGCAAGTGCCATCATGATACGCGGACGGCGAAGAGAGGCAGGACAAACCCGTAGCGCAAGGAAAATGTCGAGTTACCGGCAGGCCGGTGGCCAAAACCCCAAGGGTAGGGATTCTTACAAAGACTAGTGTGGGTGTCCTGGGAAACCCAGGGTATTGCTGAGCAATATCGGGGCCCTGGGCAAGCGGCGACGACGAGCTGCCGAGGGTCGAGTAACGATGGAGTAATTGTGGGATGCTGGACGGGAAGATAGCACGAAATAGTGCCAGTCTCGAAGCTGAGGGGAGCTGTCAGATGAGGAGCGGAGACAGGTTCGGAGGGACTGGCAGTTGTACGGGTTGAACGCAACTCCGGGATGTAGGCGCTAACCACTTTGCCGCTCTACTCTGTGTCCGTTGCTGCAGTGGGATACGCCAACCAACGTCCTGGGAAGAGACCAATATGGCGGGCAGTACAGAACACTGTCATACACCGAGCTGTTGGAAGAGAAAAGACGAGACGAGACTGCGTGACCGGCAAGGCGAGATGGGAATGGCCGGGCCAGGCGATGGGTTAAGTGGCGTTCAGAGAGGGGTGAGCTTAGCTGAGTCGAGGTGTAAGTGTGGGAAATGAACACAGAGACAAAAACCGTGCAGCTGGAAGGCTTCATGGCCAGTTTGGCAAAGGAATTGACGTGGGCAGCCCAGTTCAGCCCAGATGAAATGGGGTCCAGGAAGGCTGGGAGGGGGTGATGGTAGAAGAGGCGGATTTGGGGAGCAGCGGGTAAGGGGACATCCTAGACATGGGAACGAACTGATGTGCATGGCCAGGTGCCCGTTCTGGAACACACAGCAGCAAATTGGATAAAGAAAGATGGGATTTTTTTTCTTCGGTTCTTGGCTGCCGCGCTGAGATGTGCAAGGGACACAGATGTGGTCGGGTGGCCCTCCCACTTGGCCGGGCCACAGAGCAAACTAGGCAAGGCAGCTTGGGTCTAGGGAACAGGGATGGACGGACAGAATTGATATATACGTAGATGGATACAAACAGCTCGGCAGTAGAGAAGATTTAGGAAATACAAGATAGAAAAGAGAGAAGACGCCTGTAGGCGAAGAAGCTCCCCTTTCTACTCGCCCTGGATCGAGTCGACTTGGCGGCGGCGGCGGCGGACAGAATGACTGACCAAAAAAGCCAGAGTACACACGCGCCCACACGGATACGGAAGAGGGCCGGCAGCGATGCCAGTAAACTGAACTGACAACCAGCAGGCCGCAGAGCGAGTGGAGGAAGTCGATGGAGAGTGACCAGTTTCGAACATTTGCCACTTGACCCGCCAGGTCATTTTCAATGTCAGGATGCAGACATTTCGTGTGTGAGAGTACTTCCCCTAGGTACTCTACTCTGCAGAGCACTGGCCACCGTTCGGGGAGGCGAGCATGAAGACAAGAGAGGGAAAATGAGATGGTCCAGCGAGAGCCAGAGTGTGAGAGACATGGACCGCGCTTGCTTGCCCACTCGTTCGATCTGGCTCCGTCTTGTTAGTCCCGTGTCTGGCCCGGCCCCGGCGCCCAGCCACATCGGTCTTGGGGCCATCCCCATTTATTACGACTCGCCTTCGGTACGTACTGCCCCAGAGTACTTCCCAAGGTACTTGACCTGTACAACAAATGGTACCTCCTCTTGTACTCTGCCACTGAAACTTTGCTCTTATTTCCACTGCTGTCATTATTTGTTGTTGTGGTTGTTGCTGCTGCAATTGATTGACGATGGCTCCCCGTCACTTGATGGGTCGCCAGCCCCAAGTACCAAACGGCTTGCCCGGCAGGCGAATACTGGAGAACTGTGCTATCAAAAGATAACCCCCCTTGTGAACGTAGGAAGGAATCTGCACACACCAGATTGCGAGACCCTTCAACGGATCATCGTCTGTTTCTCGTGAATTGCTTTTCTCAGCTGGGCTCTCGGGTACTGCTGCACAGCTGCGACACGGCGATGTTAGCCAGAAGCAAGCACTAAGCTGCGGGCAGTGGCACAAACACCTCCCCTCCCCTGGCTCAAGTGCCCTTCGGGCTCTGTTAATCCGCACCCCGTGCAAGCTTGATAACACCGCATATTAGCATGGTTCCGCTTTTGGACGACGGATATTCTGTGTCAGGTTGAGAATTCGGGCGGATATGCGCTTCCAAAGCCAATGAATAGAATGAAGCAAATCTCATCCAGCGGCTGCTGGCGGAGGTAGCCTGTGGAGTGTACGGAGGCCCAAATCTACAGTAAGCAAGCACGCACGGCAGGCTTGTGCCATTTTAACCTGGCTACACCAAGTTGAGGCATGTGGAAAGCCCCTTGTCTCTCTTTTTCATCCTTCGCCGCAACCTCCTTGTCACGACAATTTGAAATAAGGACTGGGATGCCCACTGGCACACCCACCGCATCCTGACCGTCGACTGTTCGCTGCGCTCTCTACTCCCTTGGGAGTCATGACGTCTTGGAACATGCCAGTTCAATACCGCGGGGATGAAAAGTCGCCAAACAAGTCCGGGGTGGCGCTCACAAAAGACTTCTGTTCACCGGCTCAAGCGCACCACGAAGCTGGCCAGGCCAAGATTGTCCAGCGGTGCGGAGACCTCTGCCCCTACCAACCAAGATTGCCGACGGGTGTTAGTGGATCAACAGAACGGTTCGAACGTAACTCTGGGATGGGCAGACCAAGAGTGCCCTCTGGAGGAGATAGCGAATCGGGGTTTCAGTCTCTTACGCAGTCCTTTTTTGCTGTACATTGACGTGCTTCGTCCAAGGAGTCCGGCATTCTCCTTCACTAACCGGGTAATCCAAGGGACGCAGTCGCGTTCAAAGTGAGATGGAGGCTCAAATTGCAGCGCAACCTGGGCCGGCCGTCAGCCGCAAGTTTGTAAGGGAGCTCTCCGTATTGTGCGGGGAGACCGGTGGTCTAGGCCTATCTCCCCTAACCCAGAGCCCGTACGGCACATATGGGAAGTCTCTGGGCAACAGAGGCCGGTCGGAAAGTCCTCAGCCCATTGGGTGGTCTGATGATCTAACAGCCCCCAAAACGTGTTTCTTCTCACACTGGGCCGACAGTGGTGAATGTACGAAGACCTGTTGGCCGGCAGCAAAAGGTCGCGTATGCAACGTGGCAACCAACGCGAAGGCGGCGTGGATCTCGTGAGCGCCGTAGGAGTAGCCAGCCAGAAAAGAATGGGTTATGGAACGATTATGAGGGAAAACAAGACCGAACCCTCATTAGGACCAGGTCCCACAATGAGGTACTTGTGAGGTCGACGAAATCTGCAAGAGGCTGATGTAGGCGCGGTCTGCATACGTAAAGTTGGAGTCATTCAAGGCGTTGGAGATGCAAAGGAGGCTCGAACGGAGGAGCGTATGGGACTCGGATGGAGATATCGGAGGGCGGGCGTCGGGGGGTATGCGACATGAGTTGACTCGAGGACGGGAAAACGCAGGGAGAAATGGGTTGCCGACACTGGAGCGGTGATTTCTCCGCCGACCAGTGGACGCGACTCAATTGCGACCGACTGCGGCAGGCATGGGATGGGGCGGGCGGTCCACTAGACGTCTTGCCCACTGTCACTCGTCAGCATCCACCGTCCCTGTCGTTGGAGTCGAGGTGCGTCGGCGGCGGCGCTGGGCGATTTGGACGGAGACGCGGACCAGGAAAGTGGATGGGCAACGAGATGGACGTGGGCCGGAACGGACACCATATGCACATGTGTTATCCACAGTGGGAAATCGGTCTGGTTGGGACCCCATACCGCCCCACGCTTCGAGGACTTCCCACTGTCCTGTCATGTCATGTCCAGCTGGGCCAGGAG